CTTGGCACAGATAAAGTCGTGTCTTATTTATACTCTGTTCTACTGACAACAGGCCAGCGAAAAATCTAACAATCTACAGCAAAACCATCAATTATTATGGGCGTTATAACATAGGTGTGCAGCTGAACGAAACATACACGTCGAACCCCCCCAGACGATTTAAATCCCTGACGAAACATACACGACGAACCACGGCAACGGGTTAAACATACATCACAGTAAAAAACATTTCACACAACAGTTATAGACCCCAATGAATTCTATACTTCGTGCCATGTACCAATCTTTGGTAGAATGTGATAATTTTGAGAAATATGATCAAGCAAAATTTTATCTTCAGGTAAAATAATGATTACTGTGAAATCCATATTTAAAATTTTTCTGAGGCAACAAAATATGACAATGAAAACCCTTAAAAGATGAAGTTCAACACCCAGATAATGAAGCTAGAACCACAGAAATTGTATATTAAATAGGGAGAAAGTCTCAAATCACACACTCAACTAGGCAGACTGAAATGATGGCTTACAGTGCAGATTCCTAATTCCAAATTTCATAAAAATTTCTTAAAACTGCTTCGGAGATGAATTGTTAAAAATATCCTCCAGTATTCCTATACATACCATGAATCTACTGGAGAGTGACAGAAGAACATTATTCTGAACAGTATTTGCTACCTATAGTAATTAGCCTCTGGCCTGTTAACATAAATAAATAAGAACTGAATTGAAAACAGACACCCAGTGATGCTTACATATATGTAATTTTGGTTTATGGCTTCAATGTCATATTAGTATCTCACCCTTTTACAAGTGCCTTGACATAGTTCTAGCTACTGAAAAGATGAGAGAGCTACCTCATTTTGTTTGCAAAACTCAAAAGAGTTCACTCTTTATACAGAAGTAAACATTCTAAGAATTCAGACATTCTTAAAATGGAATGCAATCACTGATAACTGTTAGTGCTCTCCACCCATCAATAAACAAGTATTTTCATAACCACATAAGAAATTAAGAACCAGTCACAATCACATCGATGAATTTCCAATGGTCAGGAGTAAACATAAATATAACAGAGACATAATATCCTAATTTCTTTAGGTAACAGAAATCATCCTCTCTGTTTACTATGGAGAACAATTAATAAGCAAATATATTTTGTAAATTGCAATACTGTCACTATGGAACTTCAGTAAAAAGTAAAGGTATCCCTGTAGCAGGCCACGGAGGCTCATTGGGTTGTGAGAGGTTGAGGTTCCCACATTTTCTAGACAATCAGCTCATAAATGGCGGAGAGGTTGTCAGCCTTACACGCTGGCCGCCCTTTACCCCCAAGAATATTCCTGGTACTCATTTCTGTTAGAGGCTGAGTTGAACCCAGGGCCATAGTGTGGCTGGAAGGATTAGGTAAATTGAAAAAAAAAATCCATCTCATCAGGATTTGATCCTGCAACCTTCTGGTTTGTAGCATAGTGCCTCAACCAACTCACTATGGAACTAGAGGATGGACAATAATTTTAGTTAGTTGGGGGATAATAATGAAAAGAAAGCTACAGAAAACAAAAAGTTTCTAACTATGTAAATAAATTTCTGTAATCATATTTTATTGCAGAATTAATGCATCACAGTTTCTTTAATAGAAATAACATTTCTAGAGAGCCGTTCTTCAGTTAAACACAGATCACTTATATGTCCAGTGTCAAAATGAATCCGCATAAAATGTACAAAACTCTCACTTTTAATAATACGTGGCATATATATTGTGACACGATGGCTAAAAGCCAGAGCAGTGGAGCCCGAGCCAGACATCCGTCACTAAGCAATGGCCCAGAAATCACGTGCATGCTGTAACTTATAGCAGTGAATGGGCTGTTACCAGGTTCCAAGTTGCTAAGCACAAGATTCTTTTGACAACCACCAAAACAGAGAACAATTAACTGTTCAATGTGGTGTCTTCTATGTGGGCCACCTAACAGTTATAAAAGGCAGTGGATTCATGAATTCAAGTAGTAACAGAGAGATTAAAGTAGTAGAGACCAGTCAGAGATCCAGACAGCAATAAGAGATTCAGTCGTACGAGAAATCAGAAGTGACCTCAATAGCTGAAGTGTTACCAAGTAACAACTAAGCAAGCAGACACTGACGACTTTAGTTTGTGTGTTATAGTGACAGTAATCTTTTGAGTGCTACAATTATTTGTTAGTATCCAATAAATCTATTCATCTAATCTGGAACTCATTAATATAAGTCACACAAACACCATATACGTGACAATATTCTCATTTAATGCAACACATTGCAAAACCTGTACATGTTGTACAAATAACAAACCAACAAATTACTCAAATCTATTTCATTTATTATTCTTATTCTAGAATTATTTACAATATGGCACAGATTCTTTACTGAAGAGCTGTCAGCCATTCCAATGTTCAAGAACTTCTGAGTTTGCTTATTTATGGTTTACAAAGGTCAGATGAAAAGTGGTGGCAACACCTCTATAGTTCTCAAATGACTTTATTACCTGAGGTAAACACACTTACATTCCTTCAATATAATCATCTGTCATGTGTGCCAACTTCTGCCAAATTTGTGGAAGGCGTTGTACACCATCAGCGTGACCACTGTCCAGCACTGACCGCCCTACAGCATGAATAATCTCCTCTTTTGTGTTGTAACGTGTCCCTCGCAGTGGTTCTTTCATTTTGGCAAAGAGATCATAATCATATGGACTCATATTGGGTGAGTATGGTGGATACTGCAGTATCTCCCATCGCCAGTGGCGAAGGAGATCACTGACAGCGTCAGCAGTATGAGCCCTTGCATTGTCATGAAGGATGATGGGGTTCTTTGCCAACAAGTGTCGTCGCTTTCTCCTGAGTGTTGGACAAAGATGGTTATGCAGGAAACTGTAGTAGTAGGCAGTGTTTACTGTGTGTCGTTGAGGTACAGTGTGCTGCAGTATCACTCCATCAATGTCATATGCCACAATGAACATTGCCTTCACATTACCCTGTGTAGGGCGCACTTTCTTTCATGAGAAGAGCCAGAATGCTTCCATTTATTTCATTGTCGCTTCAAGTACAGTTCGTATGAGCAAGCCCAAGTTTTGTCCAGAGTGATGACCCTTCCAAGAAAGTCGTCATCTTCCCTCTAGTACCAGTCCAACAAGTCCTGTGCAATTGCATAATGTTGCCATTGTTGCACCTCGGACATTGTATGGGATACACAACATGCTGCAATTTTGCAGTATCCAAGAATATCATGCAGAATGTGAAGCATGGTTTTGTGACATACGCCTACCTCCTGAAACTTCAATTTTTATCCAGGAGTGTTGTTCTTGTTTCGTAAACATGTTCTTAGGGCGCTTGAACTGGGCTCCTGCACTTCAAGACGATGTACAATGCAACTCAATGAAACACAACCAGAGCCACTCACTGCACTACTTCAACTGAACTTCTGCTATCAGCTACAGATGGTGCTAGTGCCACCTGATGCACATCTTTCATGTTACAGCAGTGTTGCCACTACTTTTTATCAGACCCTTGTATTTCTGTCAATAGTTCCAATTAGATAGCATTAAATTATAGAGTAATTAGTGAACAATGTATCTGAAAAGATGTGGAAGGAAGCACTCAACAGTCTAATCTGAGGCATATTGCCAGCATTTCCTTCAAGGAACTGAGGAAAACTACAAATAAAACTCAGTCATAATGGTTGGTCTCCAGGCTCAAATATGAACCTTGGACTTCCTGAATACAAAACATGAGTCCTATTCATGCATCCATGATGCTCTATTAAATTCTATATTTTATATTCCAAATGTTCATTGCAGTTATCACAAAAGAGCTGCCAATGGACCCTATTCTAAAGAGCCACTTAGCATCTCGACCAGTCAATCTTTTATGTCCACTTCTTATTTCTCTGTATATCCTACATGCTTGACTCATCTCAGTTTCTTCACTTCAGTAAATCTTCACAAAACTGGATTAGAAGCAGTGTACATATTGTGAAGCTCCTCGTTATGTAACGTTCTCCATTCACTTATTTGTTCATCTCTCTTGCATCCAGACAGTTTCCTTGGAAATCAGTTTTTAAATATCTTCATAAAATTTGTTCTGTCCTCAAAGTGACGAAGTTCCATCTTAAAAACAGTAAAACCTGCAATGCTAGATCAAATACAGACACTCAAACTGTCTTAACTATAGCCACTCAACTTCATACAAGGTACATAAAATATAACAGGTCCTAAGATGTCTTACTCCTTACATTCTGAACTAGTCAAGATAGCTTTTTATTCCTAGTGTATATCACTTGAGTGAACAATTATTAATATGAAATACTTTTTGCTGCATGTCTCTTAATCAAATCCTGTAACATAATAAATTATTCATTTCAAGCCTTCATTCTAGTATTCAAGAAATTACACATTCTGTCTCATGAACTTGAAGAATTAAAAACATAAGAGCAAATTGTTTGCTCTGCCTCTCCACTAGCATAGTGGCTGCAAGCTTTCTTTTATATACTCTTCAATCCACCTTGAAAACAAACATTTTCAGAGTTGCAAGGATTTTGGTAGTAATATCTGCTGCCTCAAGTAAAATCACGGTCATCAACCTGGAGTAATTTCCTTTCAATAAGAATCTGCAATTGGTAGCCTCTGTCCACAATAAATATATATCACTAACAAATATTTAGTCGGAAATAAACTGCAAAGAGAGTTTTCCACTGCAAGTTCCATTCCAACACTGTACAGAACACTTTGAAGTTTAGTTAGTGCCTTGCTGTATTCACATTCCTAACATATACATATCCAGAAAACTTACCCTTACAGGTTTACTTTGTAGAAAATAAAATATTTCATCAGCATGATGCAAAAGAAATTTCTTCAGGTGACATACACAGCCAGAATGTCTACCTGTAAAAGCAGGTGCATTATCAGTGCAAATGCTTACTCTTTCAACCACAAATGACCACTTCATTTGACATGGTTATTTTAATGTGGTTGCACACCTGCACTGAGAAGGAAATGCTGCATTAAATTTTGGCTCACACACCTATGTCTGCATGATAGAAATTTGGCTTTAGTGTAGTAAAAAAGTACAGAACATACAGAATTATAAAAGAAAATGTTCTGCAGTCAAAGTCATCCTTTTCCTTTTCATCCCACAATATTCCTGAACGCTCAATTTTCTGTCCATTCATGTGTCTCACACACACCGATTTCAAACTCACATGCTGACAACAGCAAAATATTGACAGGTTTGTTAAAGAAACTCAAAGCTCTTATCTCCGTTAATGCAAAAGATATCCAGTTAGGCATACCAAACTTCAGCAGTGTGCTATTCATTTCAAAAGAATTCAATGTCTCTATACTCAGATGCTCAAGGATCCATTTCACAACTGTAGGAATGTAATAACCCCTCCTATTCTAGCACCATCTTTATCTTCATGTAGTATTTAACTGTTGTGAGGGAGAACTATTTAATTACACTTGACAGAATTCTGGAAGTACAAAACATTTAATTTAGTAATGAATAAATGTGATCACCAATATTTAGATTAACTTAAAACTATTACCAGATTTATATGAAATTTGGTATTGAGGGAGCTACACTAGGTTATCAAGTGAACTTCATTGTTCCAATCAAATCACTATTTTACAATATGCCAAATCTCACAGATTTTATCAAAAACTGATTATAGCATAAAAAATCGGTACATGACATAAATATAGATATATTACCATGAAGTTCTATGTTTATTTTGAAGTGCAAAACATACGTACTATACTCAAGTACACTTTTCCACTCACTAAGCAGGTTGGTTTAACCTTTAAACGACTAAAGACAACGTATGTCGTCGCAAAAATAAAGGCAGCGGTACGAATGACGCCATATGTGGTCGCACAGTCCGCGCATGCGGACGTTATATAAAATTAAATTTTAACGTAGAAAATGATGTTCTACTTTCGTAATTTTTGGCCACCATCTGCATGGAGGGTCTGTCTTCCCACCTGCGTCATCTGCCGGAATGTTGCCTTCGTGTGGAATTCTCAAAAAAATCCGGAAATGCAGAGTCCGATTTCGCACTTCACGCACTCTGTCCGGACCATCTTTCGTTTCCCACGCGAAAAGCACACACGACACCTCAATTGCGAAGTAGAGGAAGTCGGCCAGTGATGTGGTTTGGCCTTCTATAATCGAGATATCTCCGATTAAACGGCAGGGGTTCGACTCCTGGTCGCACAGTCCGCGCGTGTGAACATTATATTAAATAATATTTTAAAGTAGAAAATGATGTTCTACTTACGTAATTTTTGGCCATCATCTGCANAATGCTAGAGTTGACCGTATAACAGTAAACACTTTGTGTAGCTGAGAGCGAAGTAAGACACTGAGATTATTTCACTGTCCGCTATCCACATTCCGAAAGCGGTACGTCAGTTATACTCAGATAACCTTGATAGACACAACAACAACTGCAATGTTGCCAAGTGTCGTCATCCACCAGATGCATTCAGGGGTGTCCAGAACGTATGAATTCTCACAGAGAAGGAAAAAAATTGGGAAATTTCTTTTTTGGAGTCAGTGCAAAAATTTTAACATGTTTTATACAATCTGTAAATTACAATATCTGATTCTATATTCTTTCGAGAAAAAAACAGCGTTTATTTCGTTCGTTTATCACAGAAATTGCAGAAATAGGAGCAAATTTAGTAAGTGACTTCAATTTTTACGGATTTCTAATCGCGGGTATTTAAATATATTCCGTACGGCTGCCTATACCGGAATTTAAATGCCCGTAGGATAAAGGTTAAAAGTAATGCTCCAGACTTGTAGACAGGAAGTTCTTGACTTGAATTTCAGCTGGGACATCTGCTACCCTCACTGAGGTTTCTCATTTTTTCACTCAATCTCTCCTGGCCATTTCATGGGTTAATATTTCAATCATGCCATGCCCATTTATTTACAAATTCTTTATAATTCATCAGTCATAAATCAATCTATTGTTCAACCCTATAAAGTTAGTTCAGATACTGACAGTATCATAAAATAAACCATAAACCAGCTTTCCACTCCTGTTTATTCTAAAGGTCACAGAATAATTAAAAACCATTCAACAGACATAAATCACTTGGCAGATTCTAAAGGGTTCTTTCTAACAGTGGTGTATGACACTCAGGATTACTGGGTTTTTGGACTCTGTCCATCGCCCAGTATTCTAAAAACACTAAAAAACATGTTTCAGAAACTGGATGTTTCCATCCTCAGGTGAGGGGTTGGAAGACAGACACTCTGTTGGGTCCATTAGTAAGAGCTAACCCCAGTAACTGGGGTTAGTTTTTTCTAACTACCCAACAGAGTAGTGTCCCCCACTCATCTGAGGACAGGAACAGATAACAGATCCAGTTTCCAAAACATCACGTTCTTCAGTGTTCTTTAGAATACCACATGAAGGACAAGTCCACAAAACCAGTGATACTGACAAATCAACTAAGCTATCAAATTAGCATCAATTCTTATATCAAGCTACAGGACATGCACTCAATTTCTACAAACCAAAGAGAGATCATATATGTCACGAACATGTACACTGCTGCAAGCCGTAGACCTCTATGGCCAACTGAGACTACAAGCTCTTCAACATCATTCACACAGGAAGATGAAATACCTAATCATCATTACTGCTTCATGTAGAAGATGGATCCTTAGTAAAAAAAAACATGAATAATCAGATAAGTCCTGCAAGTAGCAATATCTGTGTAAGCTGAAGAAATCCTCCTTACCTGCAGGTACTGATTCAGCTGATACAGGTCTTCCAATGGCACCATCCCCACTGAGCTGATAACAGATGTGGATGGACTACAACACACCACACAACCAGTATCAGTAACTGTCTCATATGGATAGTTTCCTATCTCAAAGTATTAGATTCCTTCCTCCAGTATCTGCTTTTTCTTCTTTCAACTCCAAGTCCACACAGTGAACTCTGTCAAATCTCAACTGTGTTTCTTCCTTTCATTTACTCTCTAAAACTTCGAGCCGCAAATGTATTCTGAATAATACTCAAATATTTAGAAGTTGGAATAGTTCGGTCACCACAGCAAGAAGCTATGGACTGTAGAGCTGGGGCTCAATTCCCAGCAGGGGAATGATTGTTCTCTTCTCCACAGCAACCATACAGGCTCTGGGAACCCACCCTCCTATTCAATGGGCACTGGGAGCTCTTTCCATGGAGATAAAGCTGACCACTCACCTCCATCTAGTGCTGAGGTCAAGAATGATGATGCTACACCTCCACTCCTCCATGTCTTTATGGAATAGTAGGGACAACTTTACCTTACCTTTTACTTAAATATTCAGTTCATATCTCACAGGAAACACGATGCATCTACATTATAGAGATCGACCTGGCTAATGCTGTCTATGGGAATAATTACTATTTATTCTCACAGTCATGTAACACATTTACATACACTATGTCGGTAAAATGCACTGCTTTTTAATATTACAGGTGATTCTTATAGTAACCACTATGCTCTAAAGGATTAAGCTAGGCCCCCACTATAATTTAATCATACTTGCTAAGTTTGTTATGTTGTGTGTTAAGTCTTTGTATATAACTGAAATGAGGTACCTACTCTTATATATTATTACCAGGGCCCGAATTTTGATGCCATGTCTTCTTTTTTTCCTTGTATCCTATGCGATGCTCTTAAATATATAAATCTTGGATATGAGCTGCTGGTTACAGAAATGTAAATTTTATGGGTAATTTTTTTAAGGTCATTTTTTTCATTTTGTGGGTAATTTTTTGGTAAATTTTTGGACTTTTAAGGGTATTTCTTGTCATTTTAGGGAATTTTTCTTCATATGTTTTCTGAAATGTGAATAACATGGAAGCAAAGTGTTCTTTCTTTTTTCCTTTAGGTCATTTTTCTAGATTTTTCGGTCATTTTTTTAATATATTCAGGTCATGAAAATCCGGGCCCTGATTATTACCAATAATAAATATTTGTCCATGCACAAACAAGCCTCACAATTTTGTAACTTTCATCTTCTTGGCTGAAATTTCCAGATTACACACTTTACCAATACTGTGTACAGTAGGAACTGAATGCTGTAACTTATCCTGACTTCAGCTAAAAATTTGATCTGAAAGCTTCATACTTAAAAACTGTATATATTTACACACTTCATGGAAATTGCTCAAAATTTTGGTAATTCAGACCATTTTCTAGATATTATAACCAAACATTATTTTTAATGATCATCAGTTATGTTAATCAAGATTTAGACTTATAAGGTGAAAAGGAATAAGGAGGCACTCTCATTCTGATAACTTACATTCATTCTTGTGCTAATCTAGTATGTATTTCACTGCATTAATTCTAAGAGTTCAGACACTGATAAACCCAGCAAAAGTGAGCAACAGGCTCGGTCACCCAGGTGAGCTTATCTCACGGCTTGGACAGTTAGATTTATTATTAATTTAAAGCCTCCAACTACCTAATAAATAAATTTCATTGGTGGAAATAATTACACTTGTGAACCACAAGTTTTAAAGATAACCAATCAAGCTAAGTTAAGGGAAGGAACATCGTTTGAAACTGATGGCTTACAGAAGCTGGCAACTTCAAGAAGCATCCCTCCAGAGTCTTCAACTAATGCTACTGCAGTATGGACGAAAAAATGTGTTGCTCTGTGGTATGCATGTACATAATGTAATTGTTAAGACTCAACTTGTCAGGTCAGCCTACAAGGAATTACAGTGTAACACAGTAGCAACAAGTGTAATCATTGGTGAATTATAATATTAAAGCAAAGCTTGTGCAACAAAGAGGTAAGGTGGTAAGGTTGTCAGCCTTAGTGCCAGCCACCACCTACGCCCCAGGAATATTCCTGGTACTCATTTCTATTAGAGGCTGAGTTTACTCCCAAGCCATACTGCAGCTGGAAGGGCTAGGTAAATTAGAAAAAAATCCACCTCATCGGGATTTGAACCCGTGACCTTCTAGCTTGTAGCATAGTGCCTCAACCAATTACATTACTACGTGCCCCACGGTCATACTACAAAATAAATGTGAAGCTCTGTAAATGATTTCTCTTATAGAATATATTTGAATTAATTGCTGAATCCATTTATTTGACATAACTTTGAAACTTACCTTGCCTTTGCTTCTTTACCATCTGGTAAGTATAACTTCAGTGTGGCAACAATGCAGCCGTGTGTCACTGAAACAGGATTTCTTCAAAGGTTACCAAGTGTTTTTTAACATTTATTTCAAATTATTATGAACTACATTATGTAAAGTAAAAACATAAAGTAAAGGTATCCCTCAGGCCGTGCCATAGCTCAAGCGGTCAGTCGGTGGCTTCCCACCACAGCGGCCCGGGTTTGATCCCGGGTCTGGTCAAGTGGGATTTGTGGTGGACAAAGTGCTGTTTTAGTGAAAACAGCACAGCAGCCACGAGCAAACCCTGGACGATATAAAGAACCTCCACATCAAGATAGCCAGGTGGCACAATATCTGCCCCATATAAGAGGGACGATGGGAGGACGAACACGAACCTGCATGGTTACGAATTTTAATTATTGACAATACAAAAGTTTTTTAATTAGCATCAAGAAATTTTATGTAATTTTTTAAAAACTTTACATTCCCAGGAAACTGCTGTGTTTGTGAAATATTCTATTTTGTGTACTATGTATTGTAGCATATAAGTGTACATACTTTACGTCTAAACAACTTATGTGATGGTGGTTTCCTATTTGTAGTGATGTTTGCCCTCTGAAGATGGTCCACAGAGACCGAAACATGTAAGGGCGTTAAGTTTTCATGTAGTAAAAAACTTACAGGTCACATTGGACGGAGTGATTTATATCTGTAATTGTTAGTGTGATGGACCAGAATGAAACAAATCAAACTTATATATATGTAACTTATGGTCACTCCCCACAACAACCCTGATGAAGGAGATGGAGCAAGTCTCCAAAATGTTGTTTCTAGCTCAATCATAATGTTGTGAATCATCCCAGATTTTGGTTCATTTACCTGTCACAGAAGTTTCAAATGTATATTAACAGTAACTAACATTTCTTGTCTGACGCATTCTCTTATGTAGGTCATTCAGGGGAAGAAGAGGGTACATAAATTAACCCTTCTAAGTTTGTTCATAAGAGAATAATTTTTCTTATTTAAATTTTGTGAAATCTGTGAGCAACATTAATAACCAGCAGAGAAAATAACACAATCCTTACAGGTTATGTGCACATAATACAAGCTGCTAACAATTCCTAGCCAGAGATAAGTCAGGATAGTAATGTATGTGGAAACTAACACAAACATCTCTTTCCAGTAATTCTGTCTTCCATAAATGGGGCATGTGCCTTACTCAGGAGAATGTGGTATTCAAACAAACATGACACTGGTGTTTCTCAATGTTAATTTTTTTTTAAATTTTATGAACATAATATGATGACTGTTGGTTATTATGGTCATCAAAACACTAAATCTTTGTAAGTGCCTGACAACAGCTGTACACGTAATACCAATAAGTACTACCCCAAAAAAATACAGAAATAACCAAACAATGAGAAAAAATTACTATAAATAACATATAAACAACTATAATTTTTTAGAATTGCCATAACACATTTTATACACATGAGTATAAACTCACCCTTCCTAGAATTCTCCATAACATCAACTCCAAACTGAACAATATCACCAGAACAGACCTCCCGAGGTGGTGATTCTTCTGCTCCCTTACTGAGCCGCTGATTGTTGACAAATGTGCCATTGCTACTTTTTGTATCCTGCAAGTAAAACTGATAGCACAATATGTTATAGTAACTATACAGCAAAAGGTAAAGTTGTCACTGTGCTTAATTACTTAATTATGCGATATGCCATGAAGACATCTGGGGGATTGGAGGCATAAGTAATTATCAAAATTCATATTCTTATATAACATTAAAAAAAAACAAAAGCATGCAAAATTCATATTGTTTTCATTTAACGCATGTTTTGTTTCAAGGTAAAATTGGACAGAAGCAGTTGTTTTTGTATGTATACACACAAAAAGCTTCAGCAAAGCCAAGCACGTTCTAATTACACACTATGATAAAATACAATACTAATATAAGTAGTTACTATAGGATACAATACTAATACGTTAATAAAATCCATATTCAAAATTATACTCTGAATTTTAAATAATATGTAGCATAACAACAGAATCTTTCTGTGAAGATTTTAATTTTGGCCCAGAGACTGACTGTTCTGAGCTTCCCATGGTTTTCCTCAGTCTCCCCAGGTAAATGCTAGCATAGTACCTTAAAATAGACCACTACTGCTTCCATCAAGAAGCTTTTCAATCCATCATTCAAAATTATTCTGCCATTTTATGCTATATAACAAAAATTTCGTGGTTTTAATCTGCAAGTAATCTATACCGACCGAGCAGCTGCTGCTTGTCAGTGAAGTTAGTGCCAATTTTAGTGGATAGAGGGTGTGATATCTGTGAATATCCCTACAGTGTCATGATATTGTCGCATCTTTGCTAGGCAGCACGACAAGGAATTATGTGGGTTTCGGATTTGACAAAGACGTTTATTGGACTATCGCTTTTTAAAGTAAAAAATTAAACGAGTCCACAAGCAAACTATACCAACTGAGCGACCGTCACTTGTTGGCAAAGTTACTGCCAACTTTAGAGGATAGAGGGTGTCACATGGTCAGCGTAATAGATCCCCACAGCCGTTAATCTCAGTTTTCTAGACCGGAGGCGCTAGTTTTCTCTTTACATAGCTCCTTAATTATCCTCATGAGGCTGAGTGGACCCTGTTCCAGACCCACTACTTCTCAGAAAATCTGGTAGCATAGGGAATCAAACCTGGGTCCTATGGATCTGTAGGCAGGAACTCTGACCACTAGATCAGAGTGGGAGTCCCCATTTCCCAACACAGTTTCAAAAAAATTCATATAAAAAAGAGTGGGGGGTAAAGCTCTGCCTGTAACAGGCCATGGAGGCCCACAGGGTTGTGGAATGTTGAGGATCCCACATTTTCTAGATAATCAGGTCACAGATGGCAGTGAGGTTGTCAGTCTTATGCACCAGCTGCCCTTTACACTCAGGAAGATTCTTGGTAGTCATTTCTGTCAGAGGCTAAGTAGACCCCAGGGCCATAGTGCAGCTTGAAGGATTAGGTCAACTGATATATCCAACGACTTCTCTGTTACCAAGTTAGCCACTTTCCTTGATTTTGATGTACACACTTCTAGCGTACTCTCATCAGCTTCTGTTGTAGTTACAGGTGCTATTCACACATTTAATGTCTCTCCTTTTTAACAATTTTATTAATGCTTGATTTTAGGTTCTCACAGCAGCTAATATAAACAATACTACCTTCCAGGATGTAATTAGATGTAGTTTGGTATAGGTTCTCTAACAACTCAGAAGAAGACACTGCTGTCACCTTCAGGGTTCAAGAGTAAGCCGAGTAACAAACTAGCAAGCAGCAGGTAGCAAGTTTCCTGCCTATAGTTGCTTAGGACCCTAATCCACCCTTATATGGGCGTTCAAAAATGACTGACACTAAATGTTTTTTTTTTTTTCACAGTAACCATTCACTGGAACAAAATACATACAGATTATACTAGAGGTATTCCCCACCAATGTCTATGCACCTTTGCCATCATACTGGCAGTTTCCGTATTTGCACAGCAAATCATTCTTTGGAGGTGTGCCGGCATAACTGCTGGACGACTGCCTGAAGCTCGTCATTGGAGGTGAACATCTTACCCCACATGCTTCCCCACGTATGGTTGCTAACCTCGTGTGAATGTGTGAAGCAGTCACTCCTTCCCTCCATAGAAACCACACAGTCCACTGTTGCCCACGATTGTCTGCTTCAGTGTTGTCTGAGCGGTGTCCATGACTGCACCTGCACACTACCACGAATGACACAGCACTGTTCAACCTGCATGCAGTAGCGTCATCTCGTGGCCATAGGTGGCACTGCAGTATGTCTACCCACATACACTGATTTGCATATGACACTGTTACTTTTCCGGAGTTAAGGAGGGAGTGTCAATCATTTTTGAACGCCCTAAATACATTCAGTGCCAGTCACGGTAGCCGAGCGGTCTAAGACATGTACTGTCTTCGTTGGTTTCGAAACCGGGATCGTGGGTTCGAATCCCACTCAGGGCATGGATGTTTAGTTTGTGTGCGTGCGTTTTTCTGTGTTTGTCTACAGGTAGAGGCCTTGCGACGAGCTGATCACTCGCCCAAGGAGTCCTACCGTACGTGTAAGATCTAGAAAAACTGAAGTGAACAGAGTTCATGGAGGTAGGCCTAGGCCCACTGGGGCTGTAGTGCCAAGAAAAAAAAATACATTCAGTACCAGTGCCCTGTTCCCAAGGAAAAAATCTACCAGGGAATGAAGCTGACCACTCTGTTCAACTTGTACTGAGGTCTAGAATGTATGGACCTTTAGCTATATGCCCTCTATTCATATATGTTGCAAAGCAACAGGCACAAGGATAATTTCACTGTTGTATTCAAAATTTGCTCTCAGTAAAGCTCAAACCATGTACTACAATACTGCAATTACCAAATGAATGTAAGGCACACATATAATATACTGTTGAAATGAAAGTAAACTAAGAATTAATTTCTAATTCACATAATGATTAAGTTGAATACCTTTCCATTCTCATACCATAACAGAGCATGATTACGGGAAAGCACTTTGCAGTCAAAGATGGCATTATTAGGTGTTGCCCGAGCCCGAGCCACTGAACGCCCAATTTTCACTGGCTGGTCCAATGTCAGTGACCGCTCCTGCAAAACACATAATAAAATGGATAAATGACAAAATTAGGTTACTCTGAGCCATTAGCATCTTTGAGAATACTATACTGAAGGTACAACCACTTTATTTCACTTTCTGAACATTTACAGGTTTCTCACATTTCTTTCAAAAGATAAAAAATTAGCCAGTAGACAACTATATTAATGACATTGTGTTTTAACTATTGAATTTTTTAATTAATAGACTTGTATAAAACTGTACAAATTGTACAATGTTTGCCATTACTTTTACTACTAAAATAAACTTATTTATTATATTGCATATGTTTATCAGTATCCTACTACAAATGTGTATGCTATTGGATGACAACTGTAATTCTTAGTTGTCACTGTAACTAGGACGATCTCCACATCCGTGTGAGAATGTATTCTCAACAGGATTTATGGAAGGTGAATAAATGAATGTAATTCCATTCAGCAGAATACTCTTTCAGATGCTAACAGCCATGCTGCTAGTGATGACTTGCATATATACATGTTATTTTTGTTACTTCTTCCTGGATCGAATGATAAGTAAGAATCAGTGTTCAATCTAACCCTGCTTTATTAAGACTTATCTCATGTTCCTTAGAAACATGTGTTTTATAATTCTGCAAAACAGTCTTATTTTTGGTCATATGGTGTGAAGCACCAGAGTCTCTTACCCAAGTATCATCCTTAATTTTAAAATGATAGGCAGATACCACATACATGGATTTTTTACTGGTCTTATTTTTCCATTTATTTTCATTATACCTTTGATCAAATCCTTCTTTATTTTCATCAGTACTATTAACTGATTTACAAGACTGATTGCCCTTAAATTTTTGGTTGTGTTGATTGTTGTTGCCTTATCCTATCTTTAAACCAACAGTTTTTGTTTATATGGCCTAGCTTACCACAAATTTGAATATGCAACCCTCTCCCCACAAAACACCACTTATTTCCATAATTCCAATAAACTATTACTTGAAAGGGATGGGAATTTGGTCGGCAAATGAGAACAGCCTTCGCAGCCATCTTACTAGTAGCTATCACATCTCCACTGTTGGGGTAAACCACAGACTTGACCCAGCCACCACTCACCACGACCATCTGTAACAAAATAAGAGCAAATGAAGGAAGCAAGTGCAGCCTAACAGAGGTATTAACCTATTATTCACCTTAGTCAGGACAACTGGTTTCCCAGCCAAAATTCAAACTGACATCTCTTAAATACAAGTCTACAGCGTTACTGCAATATCAACCTGGTCAGTCTAACAAACAGTATTGTGAATTTACCTAGAAACTGTTTGATTGCTGAACTACACAGGACTTGAGCTTCTTGTTGGTGGAGCAGCCAAGTCACAGCTTCCCACTCCTCCCAATGGAGCCATTCATCCTGCACATGAAACATCATTTCTCTTCAGATTATTTTTTTTTATTAAAATGAAAAGTTATTGTTGTATCACGTTCATGTGTCCGAGGATCCTGGTTAATGACTCAAGTAACAAATTTTCACAAAATTTGGTGTGAATTTCACGCTACCATAGCTTTATCTTTATCTATCAGAAATATGAGCACTGCGGTTGTTCAAACTAGTAAGGTGGTAGTCACATCTATGTTATTTCCCCATGTATAGTTCTGAAATTTTGTGTGATAACGGGCCTTAAATATGTCAAATTCCAGGATTTGGAAAAAAACACAAAAAGTCCATATAAATAATTTACTCCTCCGTACACTTGTCCCGTAAGAACATTATTTAAAAACACAACACCGCTCACCAACAAATCAAAATTACTCTTACCTATGTGTAAAGAATACTACACTATGTTCAATTTACTATCTCCTACGAGACCTAAAAATACCTCAATGCAAAGCACTAACCGGGCAAATATAATATATATTAACTTCAAAGGTGGTCAACTAAAACTGAAGAACTCCCATATGTGTCACATAATTAAAATACGGTATTACTCCTCGAAACAGGGTTCCAAGACATATTTTATAATCTAACATAATAACGAAAAGCCTACATGTTCCGATCTTTAATTCAAATAAAATATAAACCCATAATCACAGGCACGCATCCACTTCTACTTACACTTCGCACAACATAAACTGCACAATTCTCAAATAACCAAACTATAATATCGTCATAAGGCAGCCATTTTGTCTGGGCATGGGCAAGGTTACTAAATAATTGGCTGAATCTTGTAGACCGTTGTAGACTGTTTGCATCGGTTACCGTGATCCAATCGGATATCTTCGGTACTGAGCGAATGTAGACCAGAACGAGGTAATTACAGAATTGCTCAGAATAGACTTTCACAAATTGACAGCTGTATTTATTAGTTACGCGCCCAAAAACCAGGGATGCGTGCCAAAACATAACTACAGGTTCACATGCTCAGTACCAGGGGGATGCAACTCAATGCCGCTCAGTACTGTCAATTGTCAAATTTATTAGCGTGACGGATTCCATCATTTGGGAAATAAAGCCTCGTAGCCCGGCGATAGTCAGCTGACATTTCGGATGAAAATATCGCAGTCATCTTCAAGGTCGAGGGAGGGAGGAGAAAACTGCATGTAGCAGGCAGCAAGCATACTTTGTGGAATGGAAAGGGACCTAATAATTAGTCCTTTATGTTCTGCATTTTCTTTTTGATGAATAACCTGGTTAGTCTTGCTTCCAGGGCACTACTGAAATCTGTTGTGAAGTTTTAGGTTCCAGTTAGATAGAACTATCTCCTGCACACCCCTCTCTACAAGCCAAAAAAAAATAACTTTTGGTATATACAAATTCAGGGACATTATGGCAAGTAGACTCAAAAGCCTGCAAGTGTAGGCATATGTTGAAGCATACAGGCACCACCTTGCACAACCTGATACAACAAAGCTGTCATTACGCTAGGCAGGGGTTTGCCATGGAATTAATCTAAATAAGACATATAGAGTATGCAGTCTATACAACAATATTCTGTTAAAAATTGATATGGTCAACAGTGACCATTCTTCATTCTTAATCTTCATACCATAAAACTCTCCATAACCATAACCACCCAGGATATATATCATTCGAATCATAATTTTATTATCTTTGTATACTATTATATCATTGTGTTATATATTGTATTATTATTATTATTATTACTGTTATTATTATTACTTATTGTATTGTAAAGTATTTGACTTGTCCTATATCATGTACAATGATCCATGGATATGATATGAAATAAATAAGTGAGAGGTACAATGGACAATACACCTGAAAGGAAGGTGGCTGAAACATCAAGTACAAGTACACAAATCTTATTTTACTACTTTGAACTGTATATTTCAGTGTTCAACATATCAGTAAATGATTACTGGTAACCCTTTCTGTGCCAGTCTCCAGAGATGCCGTTAATGGAAAAACAATATAAGTTTTTCCTTTCAAACTGTACATATTAGGATGAAATGAATGCTATGTATTTTTCTGGCAGAAAACATTTATATTCCTCCCATTTACTGGTTTTCATCTCTACCACTGTACAGTAGTTCCATGCATCAATCCAGAATAACAGAATTTGGATCAATCTAACTGATGCTTTTTTTTTATGTCCTCAGTGTAAACATTCATAGAACTGCAACTATAATGAGCTAAGCTCTTAATGTTCTTCTATGTTTAAACTGTGAAGATGGATGCAGTAAATTCTTCTGAAACATTAGTACCTATACACCAGGCTACACAGCATCATATCGCAGAAGACAATAATGTTAATAATATTTACTGCCATGAGAACTCAAAACTAGTAGTCCGTATTCCTTATATAAGGAATCTGTGAAATTATGCTAACTAATCTTTTCAAGAGAAATAATATTACAACGCAGGACAAATATTTTGGGGAAATAAACATTAAAGCAATTAATGGCACTGCAGTGCCAAAACCCATCCAAAATATATTAACACTTGTATGATAGGACAATAAATGAATATTTCATATACAAATTACTGAGTCTCAGTGCCTTTATTTTAAACTGTGTACATGACACAAATATAACATTTTCCATGATTCTTGTAAAACATGTATGACATTAAACTTTAATCCATCCACACTAGCTTGCAGTGAAATAGACCTACTTAAGCTTTTACCTATGTTCATTCTCAAAATATAGACATACAACTGATAATTCTGTACATCAGAATCAAGAGACAGTCATCATCAGGTATTGACAATTATGTTTGGCACAGTTAAAATTAATTTACCATAGGAAAGTGGGCTTCAAGTACAATGTATCTCGTTGCAGCTAGTAACATCAAAAAATGCTTGTACCTGTATTGAATTATGTGTTATGGAGTCTTGGGGGAAATTCACCAGTTCACAATTTCTTCTAATCAAAAATTCTGTAGATATCAGCAATGTTGCCCAATCACATTACGATAATTTGCAATTACATAGTATCATTCTACTGTTTAATTGTAGCTACTAACATCACAAATATTATAAGATCAATCTTGCTGACTGGAAAGTTTAGATATATTATATAATTTTGAAAGTGCAATTGAGAGAGCACGTGTCTGTTTTAACGGGGCAAAACAGGGACACTGTAATGAAGTACACACCAAGATAAAAAGTAAAATTTATGTTAAAAATTGTTTTGGAATATCCTTGTTTTATGGTAATTCCCATCAATGGTGTGGGCACTTGACATCAAACAAAATTTGGCCTTCTTAAATGTCAATAATTACACTGATTCACATTAAAAATGTAAACGTGACATGTAAACATAAGCTGTAAAACACTGTATCTCTTGGCAGTGCAAGTACAAAGCATAGATCTGAGATAAAAGCTATGTAACAATAGAACTCCTATTTCAGAATTTCACCAGAGACCCATAAATGAGCGAAACACACAAGCAACCCTACTGATCTAAAGGTGAAGCAGCATTTTTATAAGGAACTTTCACATATTAAAAAATGTAATAGCAACTGTATCTTGTGCCACAGTGAATCTTAAACTGCAACAGAGACAACAGGATACTATGTTACTTGAAGACAAGCAATCTGATGTGTGTAACTGGACTAACGCTGGGGCCACACAAGCGCACAAAGTACGTCCGTTGCAACAAACGTACTTTATGATGGACGTTGCTGAGGACACCACACAGTTGCAGAATGTGGTGCGTAGTTTTTTGTCTGCAATGGAGCCAGAAGAAAGCGTAGCATTCGCCTCTCTTATTTATATCTACAACGGATGTCACGACGTTCGTTACAACAGATGCATTTTGTGCACTCGTGTGGCCCCAGCCTAAAGCAGCAAAGATTCTACAGCATCCAAAGGAGTTGACTTGGGGAAGATATAATAATGGTTGTGTGCACCTATGCTATTTGCAGGATAAGACATTTCTACAAACATTTACATTATTTTAGCACGGCTCTTTTTTATTCCATCTAGTGTTGGGATGAGAACACATTCCTCTAAATTCTATACTGTTGGCAATTTTTGGCCATAACCAGCTAACACATACTGTGTACACTAATGCTACAGCCAGGACTGTCAATAATTTAATTTTGTGTGCATTACTGCATCAGTAAGAGTTTATGTGTAACAGTACCTGGTTCTGTGCAAAACATTCATTAGCACCCACCTCAATGTGTAATTCCTGACTCTTAAACACCACTTAAATACAGCACACTTCTGATAATCCCAGCTAAACCCCACACTTCTGTGAAGTGTAAGAAACACTGAACTTATATAAATCTAGTAACTGAACGGAAATACAAAAATCTGTCTCACTAATAAAACGATACTCTTCTGAACCCTAATTTTTATGTACATCATACACATCTTAAATAAACTTACTGGTTATGACTATTTCTACTCAGATCATAGCAAAGGTGTATCAAAGACCTCATATATTTAATACAAACTGTAGGACAAAAATGTCCAAGCATTAGAGTATGAAAACTGGGGTAATCAATGGCATGAAGAATACTTGAGAATATTTAAAAGGGGCCCTATTCATATGGCTTCTTTTGTGGGACTAGCATAAAGATTTAATCAGCAGAGCTTCCCAGGTTCATCCTAAGTTAGGTCTCCATGAATAACAGCAAGCAAGCAGTCATTCAAATTTAACTGCTCCCAGAATATATTTGGTTGCTCTTCAATACCCTCTTCCTTAATTCCTGATCCGCCTTCTGCGTCCTCTCTTTACTGTCAAAACAAACCAATGCAGTCAGTATTAAAGCTGTGTATCACAGTAAAGTAGAAGTAATTCCATTTGACATTCTACATTTATAATATTTACCATGGTGCAACCTGTCATTGATTTTTATTTCATTTTGTTTGACTAGTGGTTCACTATTGTCATCACCATTGAGTTCCACATCAGAGTAGATGTAACTCTCATCACTAGAGCTGGTTAGCCTGTCTTCAGGAATTGTTGCTGTTAGCAGTTCTGTCATGTCATCCAAAAGGCCATCATTTGGCTGGATCTCATAAATTTCTGATCCACTCCTAGAATACATTAATTCAATACAAGTAAAGGATGAAATTGCAGTATAATGAAAATGATGTGAACCAAGGCCTTACTACTAATAAATACCGTTATGGAAGCAATATATGTTACCTTTTCTGTGGTTCTATAGATTTGTGATTAACATTTATGAGTAGAGAAGAATTATTTTCAGACATCCACTGTCTAGATCAGAAACACATAACACATTTAGGGGGCTGTGCCTACCTCCCTTGCAAGTAACAGGAAAGATACCTATTCTGTGAGGTCCATTAGATAGAGCTAGGCTTTATCACTGAGCTGAGACAAATGGCAAGAGGCAAGCTGATTTCAAATTTAATTTGGGAAAGACCCCCCTATTCAATATAAAATGCACTGTGCCTTTATGCATACTGCTGACCTGATTCCAAGGCCATTGAGAAATAGTTACCAAATGCATGGCATATATGATTTATGCAACCAAAAGCTTTCTGCGACCACATACCTTCAGAGATTTTGTTCTATTGCAAAACATGTCTTATAATAACTTTAGACCACTCATCACACAAGTATTCAAAGCACCTGACATTGCTGCTGCGCATAACAAAGTTCTAATTGGACTATGTATGTTTTATTATCACTTGCAACACTGCTAAACGTGTTAATGTCACAAATTTCCTGTCAATATACCACCATTTATCAATTTCATCATTGATCTTTTGTGTAGGAGCCATGTTGCTATTTTACATTACCCTACAAAAGAACGTATCCAATAATACTGAATTATATTTAAAATCTATCATCATATAAAACTGAAAGAGCCTACACTAAATGGCACTAGAATTGTTCATACCTCACAAATTTTCATGGCTACTTGTCAGTAGCATGAAGGACGGATGGTCTTCAACTGCATGACATTCATACAGAGTTTCACAAAAATCGGCCAGTCAGTGGATATAATCTGATGTCTATAACTGAAACATGGGGGAGATGAACATGCACTTCGCAAATAGGGTTATAAAGGAACATAGTTCTATCCTCATCACCCTGAAAAGAGAAACATTCTCAAGTTCTTACCCTTCATTTGATCCTGGTTTAATATGATAACTTTCATGTCTTGGAGGTGGCCGTGGTTGTCGTGGAGGCATTTCCAGTGTACTCTCACCAGAAGTATTAAAACTAATAGGCTCTTCCATGTGAAACGCTTGCTCTATTTCTGGTTTTTTCTCCCACACTTCTTTGAAGAAAGGTGTGTAAAATGCAGCTACAACAACAAATAAGTTGCATACTAATATAATAAATAAAGAAAATAAATATATTGTCATGCATTCAAGTGACAATAGATGGGTTTTGGATTTATGATTGGATTTACTGGACTCTTCTGATACAGTGCATGACTACACTTTACAATTTCTCTCTCTCTCTCTCTCTCTCATACACTCTCTCTCTCTCTCCTGTGTCCACAGTCATGTCTTCATTAGCCGTTGTTTGGTAGCTGCGTCAATGGCAGACATTCCCTATCCTCAGGGTTCCCAAATAATTCCTGGGCTCAGCTACAAATTTCTCACAGCAACAGCTCTCAATGACTGAACCTCAGCAGTTCTCTAACACAATCACTACCTGACTGACTGAGTTACTCAACAACTCAACTCAACTGCCTGACTGAACTCACTCCTCACTAACTGTCTTCCTTATAATATCTCAGCATGGACTGCATGGAAAATGTTCCTCTGTTGATGTTTACAAGCTGTTGCATATAATGGCTGTTGTCTAGTCATTTTTCATGGTCTTTGCCTAGCAACGGGTCTCCTTGCCACCATATATTCTTCTGCAGCAGTGTGAAATGTAATGTTCTCCATATTCAGTAGTAAATGGATGAGTAAAACTTATGACCAAAATGACAACAGAGATGACACACATTTTTGCCATTTTCATCATTTACTCTTTCTAATCAGTGCTGCTGGCAGTCACCTTTTAAAACATAAAAAGTTTCCTTGTGAAATAACACCTTCTCATATTATCAACAGGCAGTTAAATATTACTGTACTTATCAACTACCATCACTATAAAACAAGTAAATTTTAAAATTTTGCAGCATGATTAAAAAAATGAGAATTATAATGCTTGGTCTGGACTGCAATGAGTGCATGCTCTGTTCAAGGAATGCAAAGTATGGCTAATAAGAGTTAAGTTACACAAAATTTTCCATACCTTTCTTCTGTCTGATGGCACAACTGAACATAATGGCTTCTGATTTTGCTATTGGTTAAAGTTGAAATGGGCATAACAGAAACTGAATTACATGCCAAAAATTCTACACTTTTTATATATGAACCAAGAAACATTTTAGAATAATGCTTCAAAGAGAACCACACCACAACAAATATTTTTGGTGCCACAATACTCAGAGAATTTGATGAACTTTGGATTAAATACATTTACCATGATTGTTGTCCATGTTTTAATTAATAGTGTGGTCAAATATTAAACAATGTCTGTAAATAAAGAAATCATTACACATCAGACATGTTAATGCCTTTAATTTTCTTAGTGGGGGCGGAGTCAAACTGGGTCCACTCGGCACAGTGGCCACTGATTGGCTTATTGTAGCCTGCCCCAGGTGATTATGATGGAGAATTTGGTGAAATGAAGATTGACAGGGGAAACCGAAGTACTCGGAGAAAACCCGCCCCAGCGCCACTTTGTCCACCACAAATCCCACTTGACCAGACCCAGGATCGAACCCAGGCTGCAGCAGTGGGAAGCCAGCAAGTAACTGCTTGAGCTATGGCGCGGCCATGTTAATGCTTGCTCACTGCACTTACTTTTCTGCTGAGCTGATGATACAGATGTCATGAAATGTGCTTTCAAACGATCTGCTGTGGCATTTCCTTCTGTTATAAGAAGGTGACTCAAGTCATTGCTGAAGAAAGCATTTGCACCTCCTGCATCTGTCACTGCTAGCACTTGGATTGGTAAATTAGGAATGTTCATCGAAAATGCACTGAAAAATAATCATATAAAACAAGAGTCACTCTCAGAAACCAAATACTGGATACTCAGTCACTCATTTAGCCCAGAAATTCCCTCCCTTTTATGGAACCTGAAGGTTCATTACAGTGTTGCAGTGCTCACAGACCTTAATCTATATTCTTCCCTTAATGTGACAGACAAACTTCCATACCATTACTGTGGAGGGGTCATTGCTCTGTATCCGTTTTACTTGGGAAAAGTCATTTACACCTCTTTCACTCTACTAATCATTTATGCACCTTCAACTTCACTAAAAAACTTCTTACAGTCAAGTTGTTATTGGGCAGTAATAAAGTCATGGGTAGCAACAGGACAACTCAATGGTTTTCAATAATACTGTGATGTGCTGCCTGAAAGCCAGACTACAAGATGTCCATCACTAGTCAACGGCTAGCAATTCCTAGGCAGCAAAGCCTAGGAAATCGTTGTCCCAGAAATGAAAGTCTAAGAGTAGGGTTTCCACCTTACAAATGAATTGTTTGAGGCAGACATATATTCCCATGTTCGTTGCATAGCAGCGGGTGAAATTAACCCGTCGACAAGGTGTTCCCTATTCAGTCCAAGTGCAAGATATAACATACCAGTTTGTATTCGGCAAGGGACCAGTAGAGTTCATATCCGACAAGGGACCAAGGACAGTTGAGCTCCAAGCAGAGCAGAAGACACTTCACCAAGATTAACGGTGCAAGTAATTGTAACAGTGAAGAGGAAACGTCTGATGATGTTATAAGTTGAGAATAATTGTATTTATGATTGTAAAAAGTGATAGTTCCTTTTGTGGTCTAGTGGTCAGAGTTCCTGCCTACAGATCCGGAGGTCCAGGTTCGATTCCCGGCGCTACCAAATTTTCTGAGAAGTAGTGGGTCTGGAACGGGATCCACTCAGCCTCATGAGGATAATTGAGGAGCTATTTCAAGGAAATAGCAGCTCCGGTCTAGAAAACCGATATTAACAGCTGTGGTGATCCATTACGCTGACCACGTGACACCCTCTATCCTCTAAAGTTGGCAGTAACTTTGCCGACAAGTGACGGTCGCTCGGTTGGTATAGTTTGCTTGTGGACTCGAGCCATGGAGGTTAGTTTTATACTTTAAAAAGCAATGGTCCAATAAACGTCTTTGTCAAATCCGAAACCCACATAATTCCTTGTTGTGCTGCCTAGCAAAGATGCGACAATACCATGACACTGTAGGGATATTCATAGATATCCTCACATGCTTAAAATCTGGTATATTGGTATGTTGCTTCACCAATACACTGAGCAAGATGAACAAGCTAGCTGTATTCCTCCTGCTGTTATTTGAAGTTAAACATCATGACACTATAAGATATGGCATTCCAAAGTTCACATTCTTCCTGATCTCTCACAGCCATAAGATTTACTGACATGGAGTAGCGAACAGTATCTGATTTCCAGTGATACAGTACTTAGTAAATCTTATAGTATCTTCTCACTCAGTCAACCTAGAAGTTCCTTGTAAATTATTCTGTGGAACTATTACTACATATGTAATTCTAAAATAAAATTTATGGGTATTAATTTGTATCTAGTCTGAGCTGTCAACTCACACAGAGTAAGTGGAAGCACAACCACTATGCAAGCCTGTTTACCACTTCTCTATAACCAACACTGGCCTGTTGATCTTGTGTAAATGAAGGCTGCAAAGTGTGCATGACAGAGATGTGGATTCACAGCTCCTATTCATACCTATTGAGGCCTTACTAAACACGTATGGAAAAATTAAAATCCCTGTGCCATTCAATGAGTGCCACCACACAATGCAAAAGGTGATATGGTGTGCTGTAAGCACACAAAAAATTACTCACTTCAGAATTTTAGAATGTGTCACAAAATTTACATATATGCTGCAAGGAATGATTGACAGCCCTATGTGCCAGCTGCCCTTTACCCCCAAGAATATTCCAACATTCCTGGTACTCATTTCTGTTAGAGGTTGAGTCGACCACAGGGTCATAGTGCAGCTGGAAGGATTAGGTCAACTGAAAAAATCCAATGGCCTCATCAGGACTTGAACCTGCGACCTTCCGGCTTGTAGCATAGTGCCTCAACCGGCTACTCTACAGCATGCCCCTATTACTCTACCTACAAGAAAATAAATATAGGAGTATTATAATAATACTAAAATATGATCATGAGATCATTATTTGCTTTATGTTGTGATGATTCTTTTGGTTTAGATATTCATTTAATGCAGTTACTGGTTGATATCTAAGGAGCTGGGATAGTGCAGTCAGTATGGTGACTGGCTATGGGCTGGACAACTGAGGGGTCTGAGTTTGAGTCCTGGTAGGGTCAAGAATTTTCTTTTCTCCACATTGTCGAGACAGGCTCTGGGGCCCACCCAACCTATCAACTCGGTACCAGGGGTTCTTTTCTTGAGGGGTAAAGCAACCAGGGCGTGATGCTGACCACTCACCTCCAACTAGTGCTGGTGTCAAGAAAACATGGATCTATACATCCACTCCTACATCTTCATGGCATAATGATTAATTAGTAAAACAGAGGGGCAATTTTACTTTTACCTTCACTGGTTGATATCTGTGAGAATCTACATCCAAATTGACATGATATACTTCTGAATGGTAAAAGATAAAGTTGTCTCTGTGCTTAACTAATTAAGCACTACAAAATGAAGGCATATGGGGAAGTGGGTGAATACTATCCTTAATATAAACTAGGAAGAATAATCAGAAATCTTATTTCATTCAGAACTCATGGGGTGCCAATAGCCTTTGATCACATTCTAGGAACTGCTCATGAATACTGAACATCTGATGATTCTGTGATAAAACAGCAAAGTGGGTTGCATGGGTAACCTCCTAGCAGTGAAAAAATATTATTTGTTTCATTCTATAAAATTAAATGCAAATCAAATTCCACTTGAACAAGTTCTCATTATCTGTAGCTTTCATTTGATAACAAGTGTCCTTAATGTTATTACAGAATTATTCTTTACCACAATGAAGTAGGCCTCCATTAAGTATGGTATGAAACATTTAATTTTACAATATTGCAGTGCATTCTCTACTCAAGGCAACACACTTACTTCAGGGTGGCGAGTGATGCTCTTCTCTTGGCTGAATATACTAATATGAATCCATGCACCAATTCTTCTCGGAAAGCGTTGGCACCATGGAATGATGAAATGATCACTTCTACCTTCCTTTTTGAGTCATCAAGGAATGTTTCTAGGATGATACTGCGGTCTCCACTCAAAAAGCAACACTGATGACTTAGTAAAGGACCCAAAACATTTTCTACAGAATATGGGTCCCCACAGAACATGCACATAATAATCCTGCAATAAAACAGAATACTGTAATGTATTCAGTGACAAGACATGGGATTTGGATTGGTAACTGGGTTTACTGGACTCTTACAAACCATAAATGCATTAATTATAACTGTTTCACTAATATACACACATCAGAATTCACTATGGCACACACCAAGTCTTCTCTATCTTCACTAGTAGTCACCAGGTAACAGCTCCCACAACAATGTAGATTTCTCAGCTTCCATGTTTCATGGCTCCAGTCTTCGCTGGCTGGCAACTGTATTTCATCTCATGACCATAACTCCTGGCCATTGACTCCTACCCATGTCTGACCACCACTGGCTACCACTCACTATCACCAGCTAGCATGCATTTCTGGCTCAGAACTATGAGATTTGGTCCCCAGAATATAGCCTCGGCACGGAATGCACAGAAAACACTGCCTCCAACAGTTCTTGTAATGTCATGTACGTATGTTGCCAAGCAGACATCTTTACTGAGCAATTCCCTAGCAATGGCCGTCTCCTCTGGCTCCACAATTCTGGCTTTGAGCGGAAATGTCACAATATCTTGGTAGGTATGGTGGTGCCTGGATTACTGAGTTAGTAATGTGACTGCTATGGGGTTATGTCCAACATTCAATTTCCGGCATTGGGAAGAGATTTTTCTTGAGACGTTCAAACTTCTGACTAACTATGGGGCAACCCAACCTTTCATTTATTGGTCAAAAACTGGTCAGCTGGGGTATGAAGTTGACCATGCCCCTCCATTTCACATAACTTTATTTCCACTCACTATATACACCTCTATGGCATTGCGCTTTTTTTCTTTCATGGGATGTGATGAGATTAGTCCACTTGATATGTCAGCCACTAATAGGCCTATGGCATGGTGCTTAGGTACAGCATAACTTCTATAGTTTACAGACATGATGATACACAGCAATTTATGGCATGACCATCTTCACCACCAACTACACAGTTTGGATTCTACTAATGTTCCAGCTCCCAGATACAAAGAACATATAAAATCTATTTCGAAACTGAAATAGGGAGCACTTGATAGCATTCCAGATTTAAATGAATATAGCTTAGGCCAATTCATTACTGGCATCAGGGAGTAGGAATAAAAACACACAGATTTGTAATTATTATTGCATATAAACAGAAAAATATAATGCATCCAGCACTTCAAACTTTAAATAAATGTAATAAAATTATTAATATTAACATAAATGTGAAAAGCACTTTCTCTACACATGTAAATTTTTGTCTTAGTGTACTTTTTAAGATGGTTATTTGGCAATTTTTTTCTTAGTATACTTTTTAAGTTGGTTACAATATTATATTTAAGCATCCTGTTGCACTCTATACGATAAATGATATGAACTCCGTCCCAAGTGCAAACAATATATTATATATCCTTGATCTTGCTCTCCTTTACACTACATGTTTCGGTCTCAAACGGCTATCATCAGGTGTGCAGCGCAGTGTAACAGCAACATGAGTGTATACACCTGATGATAGCCGTTTGAGGCTGAAATATGTAGTGTAAAGGAGAGCAAGATCAAGGACATATAATATATTGTTTGCACTTGGGACGGAGTTCATATCATTTAAGTTGATTATTTAACAACTCTCTTTGGATCAAGACTACACAGTATCAAGCCTGGTGGCCTGTCAGTCTCTGCAGAATTAAAAACAATATTCTCATTCAGTCTTTGACTGAAAGGTTGTTTAGATCTCTTCAATTTATTTTCCACTTCAGTTCTGGGATCTGTTCTGTCTGGCTTCAATTTAAAAATACTAACTTTTATAAAATTTAAATTTTGCAATGGCTAAGATCTATTGATGGTGGCCAGTAAAGCCTTTTAGATGATATACAGCAGGAAATCAGAATCCTTTCCTTGGATGAGCCATGTAAAAGATCTCACCTGATATCTGGTTCAGAGCATTCCAAAATTGACTGATACACATTAAGAAAAACAGCCCGATGATGAATACTTTGAATGAGCTGTCCCATTGCTTCAGCTATCAAGGGTGGTGTGAATCGCTGCCCAGGAGCTATGATATCTTCCAGTGAAACATCAATGAAGGGACACTGTAAACTAAGTATCATTTTGTAAAAACAAGATATTGCATCTACCATTATCACTTATTGTCACACTTTTTTTCAGTCAGAAAATTAGAGTGTAACTATTATACAGCAAACTCCTCAATTTGTGCGCCATACATTGTAAATATGTGGTGCAATCCTATATAAGTTACCATCCATATATGGCCAGTTTAAATTCTTTTTCAGTTTTATGTATGTTTCAGGTGATCAAATGGCAGCAATTGGAAAAGTGGTCAAAAAGTTGATCAGATGCATGACATACATGGTGAAACATACCAGTGCCATACTGAATAAAAAAGTCGAACATACCTAATAAGTTACTTCAAGTTACCTCATGTTCAAAAATTATAAAATAATCAGTGATCAATTATTAAAACTAAGAATGTACAAAAATAATTCTGCACTGATGCATTGCTCAACATCCAGTATGCAGTATAAGTTTCATAAACTACTTATAAAAAATCAAAAGGCATCATATTCTGGTTGTTAACTGCTGGTCTGATACCTGGATTTTTCTTTGGCTTATAGATATACGAAAATACATGGCACTAAATAACACACTGAAGTATTTCATTCAAAACTGAGTTTTAAATTACTTGATTTGAACATTACACATAACTAATGAAGATGCAGGAACAGCACAATTGGCACGGCAACTGGCTACATGCTGGACAAGCAAGGGGGTTGGAGTTTGATTCCTGATAGGGTCAAAAATGTTCTCTCATCATCCAGACTGACTCTGGGGCCCACACAGCCTCCTATCCAATGTACACCAGGGGGTCTTTCCTCGGGTGTAAAGCTGCCTGGGCATGAAGCTGACCACTTACCTCCAATTAGCGCTGAGGTCAAGAAAATGTGGATCTATACATCCACTCCCCCATAAGTCTTCAGGGTGTAGTGCTTAAATAGTTAAGCACAGGGATAACTTTACCCTTTTTACCTTTACATAACTAATGAATAAACTTTGAAATAAAAAGGCATTGTAAGGATTTTTTCTCACTTAAGCATTACAGTTTTGTATCATTTTGTGAACTAATCAGACCATTTCAATCCCAAGGAATTCCCACTGTGTTCTTTATCTGCATGTGATGTATATTTTTTCATGGGGTATTAAATGTAACTTTTATAAAAGATTATCCCTCTTCAGCCGAGATACATCATTATATACCTGTCAGACAAACTCTGCCCCTCCTCACGAAGCCTCAGTATCTCACTTTCATCGACAGATGGATCAGGAAGAAACAAGATCACAATTGGCAACCCTTGGAAAGGCAATCTGTCATCCTGTTCCAAATTGGACAGCAATGTTTTCTCAAGACTATCTCTCACATACTCAAATGTTTCTGGATTTGAATATACACAAAAGCAGCCTGTGAATAAATCAAAAAGAAAACATCAACTTTTGTGAAACAAACAACTAATTCTTATAAAATGAAAAAGAATCCAATTGGTGACATCTGCTTTATGATTTTAATGTAGTTCCTACATTCCTGTTCAGTTTGTGTACTTTCCTATCCATCCTGAACAAAGAAAATGTAAAGACTTCTTATCTCATTTCATTGCTATCAGCAACTGGTCTCACATGACTGTCCAATTTCCAGTCTTGTTGTATCATCAAGAACAATATCCACTCACCATTTGGCAAAAAGTCTGTCCCTTTAAATGAATTTTCTGGTAAACTGACATCTCCATCAATGATTCTATAGTCAAGAGTATATAGATGACAATCTAATTCATATTCATCTTCATCACACTGAACCTGAAAATGCAATTTATAACATTTATCTTCAGAAAGAAAAGCTTCTTACTTGTTCCCAGTAACCTGCAAAGCTAAATTAGTTCTACGTCAACACCAGGCCTGCCTGGATCTGATGATCCCTCATGTCAGCACTCAGCACTGTCCACCATCAATGGCAATGGCTGACAGCCACATGTTGGTCAAGCATGGCACTGTTCTGCTTGCAAGTTCTGTTCCACTATCACAGTGTACCTGGTTGTATCCTGGTGTGTACTTCAACCACTTGACCTTATTGTTGCACATATCACCATATTATATTATAATGAAGATTGACAGCAGCACTACATCCTTCTGCCCACACTGCGATTTGCTACATCACATGAAGACGGACAGGGATCATCAAATCCTGGTAAGACTACACTGAGGTGACAGGTGAGTTATAATAGAACAGAATGTTTATGAATATCACACTGTTATCCGGAATATTGTAAAGGTAGTAAGCGATTAGGAAAGGGGACCTAAAAAAAACGGAATTTGTTTCTAGAAGCTTGTAGTACAGGCTTCCACCACTAGGCGGCTGTTTGCAGCATCTTCCTAAAGTTTTCGTTAGTGTTTGGTGAATTTTTTCCAAGTGACTTTTTTATTATTCGTCAATTTTTAATGGCTGATTCACACGAATGTGCTGCTGTGAACTTTTGCTTCCTTTTGGGAAAAACAGCAACAGACACGGTTGTTATGCTACAGACAGCCTACAAGGAAGCCACCATGAGTAAAACACAAATTTACAAATGATTCTCCCATTTCAAACGTGGTGAAATGTTAACTGATGATCAACCTCAAAGTGGATGTCCTTCGACCGCCCGAACTGATGAAAACATGACAAAAATTTGTCAAATCATTCTAGAAGACTGCTGGAGTTATTATTTGGAAGTTCTGAAAAGGTTGTGTAACAGTTTAAGGAGAAAACATCCCGATTTGTGGTGAGGTGAATGGTTCTTTCATCATGACAACGTGCCTGGCCACACAGCGCTCGGTGTGCAGTGATTTTTGACCAAAAATGGCATGACACCCTTGCCCCCCCAGTACTCATCAGATCTTGGCCCGCGCAACTTCTTTTTATTTCCTCAGATGAAAAGAGACCTCAAGGGAAAACGTTTTGCACATGTTGAAGACATAAAGAAAAAGAAAAATGACAAAGCACTAAAAGGCATCACCAGCGATGAATTCAAAAAATATTTGAGCAATGGAAAAAACTTTTGGACAAGTGCACTGAATCAAATGGAGAGTACTTTGAAGGGGATTAAAGTTTTGTTATGTAAAAATAAATACAGAATCTTTTTATAAATAAATTCTGTTTTTTTGGGGTTCCCCCTTGTACATGTAGTAGTGTCCTCCTTGAGAAGCTAAGAGTTGCTCAGCTACTCAAGAAATTCCAGGCTGTTATAAGGAACCGAAAGGTTCATTACCATGACCAAAGGAACCTCCACTGGTCTCCATTATGAGCTAGATGAATCCAGCTAAGTACTAAGAGGGTAGTAACACCAAATCCAACTTGGTTGTAATACAGGCCATTTAAGAATCAATGATATCCGATCATCCTATTGTTTCAGCCTTGTTGTAGGAGGAGAAATTAACACTTTTACTCTCAATAAATCTGCTACTGACTTACCTCCAGTCCTGCCACTTTCAGCAGTAAACTAACAGTTTGCAAGTAGTCACTATAGGATTCTGACGATGGTGTATAACACACTGATATGTTGGGATTTTGGACTTTATCCATCGTCCTGGTTTTTAAGATAACAAATAAAAACACGACGTTTCGGAAACTGGATCTGTTTCCGTCCTCAGGTGAAGGANCAGTTTGCAGTATTCTGCAGTAAAAAAATGAACTATGTACATCCATAAAACCATAGAAGTTAGCTACATGGATCACCTAGCAACAGAGAAAAGCTATGTGCTTGAAGTGCCTTTTTGACGAGAAATATTTTGACTTGTCCAATCTAGGTCAAATATGACTGGACAAAGTACTGGTAAATGAAAATCAAACATAAAGAAGCAACATGTTAAGTAATGGATTGTGCTGGTGGGAATGAAATATGGTTAAACGCATACATACCCGAATTTCACTCGCCAATTCCTCTGCCAAACCATCAATTCCTAAAATAACTAAATTCAACTGATTATTGTCAGAATTTAATCGCCACTGACTGCTATGATTCCATGAAGAAGGCCTGAAAAGAATATAAGGAGTAATATGATGTTACTTGCAAAGCTTCATTTGAGTGGCAGACAGAGAAATGGTACACTGGATAAAATTCATTATTTGAGTCCTTTATTAAAATTTATTCACTAAATTCTGGTACAAGACTAGGAATTACAGATTTCCTTCTCAGTGTTTTGTCCCAAATTTCTGAAGTTTGCTCAATCATCATGTCTATAAAGACTAACAGCATTCAATATCAACATACCTGTGAGCCCTTGTGCGTAGTATTCGTTCAATAAGTGCATCCATGCAGTTAGGAAAGGCTGGGCAATGTTCTCTTATTGGACAATGAACAAATCCCAAATGTTGAAACAGCATCAGTTTTCTATCCTGGTCTATTCGATCTAACGCCTTGTACCTGAAAAACAAACAGGATACAGCATGGCAAAATAAACTCATACAATTATAATATTCATCCTTCATTTTCTTACCACAAAAATGGCGGCCCGGGTTTGATCCCAGGGTAACTGTGGCATTCTTATGTCACATGTTACAGGTGGTAATGATGCCATCCTTGGTGAAGTTGGCCAAGCCACGGCTGTGTCTTTGGTGGGGACGTATCATGGACCAGGGATGCATTGGGACACAGCTTTGGGACACCTACTCGTGGTCCAGCCAGGCAACAACAGTCTTGGGGGTCTGGATCAGTATGACCTTCCAGCGCTGGCGGCCAAGCTCCCATGAAGGGCAATGGCTTTATGACCAGAGCCTCCCATGCGGCAGCATGACTCTTGGGTGTCTCTATGATGTACCCAGGATGAATGCAGAAGAGCACTCCTATGGGGGTACCTTTGGCTATTTGAGTTGTCTCCCTAGAGTATCGATAAGGTGCCACAAGCCTTCGGGCTCAACCCTCTAAAACGGTTTGACCAACCCATGTGGAGGGGTGGGAATGGGGGAGCTCATAAGCAACCACCAGGGGCGACCTTCTAGTGTAGGATGCCCTGGTCGCAACCTCATGACTAACTGGTGTCGCACTCCCATTTATCATCTGGGAATACCCTCTCCCCCCAAACAGGCACTCTTGGTTCTGGAGGCTTGTGAGGGTTGCATTTACTACAGGAACAAACCACCTGAGCCAAGGTGTGAGGCATCGTGCTGAGGGCTGCATGGCACTGGGGTGGTAATTAGCCAGTGTCTTGAATGATTCCCTCAGGGCACCAGGCAGGAACCCGTTGTATTTATGCCTTCCACCCGTATGAGACGCTGTGGGTGGTGACCTTTAAAATCCCCATAACTCGTGGACCAAAATGAATAAAGGAACCAAATTAACAACTGGTCATAAAGACCTTAAACTGAAGAGGGACCCCCCTACAAAGGGATCCCTAAGAGAAATGCTTCAGCAGGGGACTGGAAGCTCTGGTGAACCATTAAGGGGCCCAGTTGCAACCAGCGAACCTGATTGTGAAATTTCAGCCAAAGGCAGGGACAAACCAGTGGTTCAAAACCTGCCAGAGGTAAAACCAAAACTACTCTCCTGGGGGTCAGTAGCACTGACACACCACTGCAGGGAGCTAGTACTTCTAACACACTTGCAGCAGGAGAAGGACTGGGACACCTAGTCTCTGGAGTAGGTGAACCGTGCAACGGTTCTTCTCCGTGAAGTTCCTTGGAGTCCCACCCCCCGAAACGCCAGGATGCGAGCCGTTCCTCCTTCTTTCTACTTAAAGTCTTAGCTGACGTCAGGTCAGCTGACCTTGTCCCCCCCCCCCTCCTGGACGCAGTGCGAGGTTTCCTGTATAGTAAAACGAATGTATCGTCCTCTCTCTCCCCGTTGACTTCGGAAAGGTAACATCGCTGCGTCCAAATTTAGTTTCATTATGTTGAATTGATCTTGTCAATTCGGTTTCGGCCCGCAGCAGTGTCTGAAGGGGAAAGAGTGCCCTCACTACGTGATCAAGCCTGGATCAAGTCGTGAGGTAAAACTTTGTGTTGTAATTCAGGAAACGCAAGTAGGTGACTTACTGTTTGAGATGGTTTCCTTTCAATTATGAACGCTGCGTGGCGTAAGATAATTTGGTTTTGTTGTAGGTTGTGTAAAACAGCAGATCGCCCCTCAGGTGTGTTTGTAACCTGTTTATGTTTCCTTGTGCCCTCAAGGCTTGCGTAAGTACATGTTTGTACTGGAGAAGTTGAATGACGCCATGAGGCGAGCCTGACTTGAGTTCTGAGCGGCTAGGCACAGTGTAGCTTTGTATTAATTATTATCACATGTTCTGACCAGTCCCTGCCCATCAGGCAGAGTCCACTTGTATACATACGTTATCAATATATATTTATTTATATGTTTGGAAACGCCAGTTGTATTTATGTATACTTGTGCAGTGTGTTTCCTACCAGTTCGGACTAGCCGATCCGTCCAGCTTGGCCCATAGTGCCGACAGTGGTTTTCCTCTCCCGAGATCCCCTACTCGACCTTGGGGAGGCATAGTACATCACGTACAAGCAAGTCGTTTCTTATGAGCCTGTCCCTTACCCATTTGAGCAGGGGTTCACGGGTTTAAGTGGGTAGAAGAACTAGGTTCTTTACCCACAGGGTCAAGGGACACGGCTCATAGGTGGACCCCGTCTAGTGAAAAAAGCCTTGTCTGGATGCGCTAGACGGAAGTTGAGAAAGGCAAGAGCTGGGGCAAGCAAAGCAAGAACTGGAGGCAGTCACCAACCAGGAAATGCAGGCTCATCCAAGAAGGGAGAAACCCCCACCGGCACCTTTAAGAGGCCAAGGTCAGAGGGCAGTACCCCTACAGAAACGACCAGAACTCCGAAAAGGCCCAGGGACTCTTACCGGACCAGGGACTTCCAAGGAGGCTCTGACCAATATAAAGGAAACTTATCCTGAGGATAAGCTTACCGAAGATGACCAAAATTCCATTCTGGAAGCACTGGAGGTGTTACGTAGGACTACTACACCTGAAATCCTACAGACTAGTGGGAGGTGTACTTATTTATGTATGCACTGACCAACAGTCTGGTCAATGGCTCACCAAAGCCACTGACAACCACAGGCTGGAATCAGGGGCCAGGCTGAAGGCTACTGATGCCAGGAACCTCCCCATGCCTGTTAAAAGTGGCTCTCTGGACTAGGGACAAAATTTCCCAGAATCAGGAAGAGCTGCTGAAATGGATTGCAGACCTCAATCCAGGACTTCATACTGAGAACTGGAGGGTACTCGATAAGCAATCTGAGTCGAAAGGCCAAAGGCTCATCTTATTCATAGACCGGGACTCCCATACTATTATACAGAGGACCAGTTACAAACTATTTACAGGACTCTCACAGGGGACTGTCAAGGTGCTGGATGATCCTGAAGTTCAGCACCGGGCAGAACCTGTGACAGATACAGTATCTTCTAACTTGGTCTCTGAGGGGAAAGGGGATGATATACCCAGCCCCCTGGATGACCAAAGCGAAGCGGATCAGGGGACCCCTTCACATAGAACCCAGTCCAAGGACAGGGAGGGACATAAGATGGAAATTGACCCCTCCCAAATTGGAAGAGATCACTAACACCATGAAATTTCTTTAAATTAACCTACACCACAGCAAAGCTGCCACGGCAACTTTGTGCCAACAACTAGCTGAGGGTAAGGCAGATATAGCGCTTATTCGGAACCTTGGTTATACAAGGGTCAAATAAGGGGCTTAACTAACACAGGGGGAACAGTTTACTCTGCTGTACCCAATAATAATGCAAGATCTTGTGTTTGTATCAGGAATCATGTTAACACCTTGCCTTTGCTGGAGCTCTGTTCTAGGGACGCAACAGCAGTAAGTATAACATTCATGTATCGAGGAGACAGCAGGGAGCTGATTATTGCTTCAGTCTACCTTCCATATGACTCAGATGAACCACCACCAACTACGGAAATGAGGGATATCATAGACTACTGCTGTAGCAGGAAAAAGCAACTCATCATTGGGTGTGATGCCAATGCGCACCACATCTTGTGGGGGAGCACCGGCACTAACCGAAGGGGAGAGACCTTATGGAATTTCTGGTCAGTTCTAACCTGAATATTCTAAACCATGGTAACGAACCTACCTTTGCAGTTTGCAATAGGGAGGAGATTATTGATTTGGCACTAAGGACAAATAACATAGGAAACCTGGTAAGTAACTGGCATGTATCTGACAAGCCATCCCTATCAGATCACAGATATATATGCTTTCAAATAAGTAACATTACAGTGGATCAAGCTACTTATAGGAATCCTAAGAGAACCAATTGGGAGTTTTACAAAGATGACCTAAAGGCAAATCTAGAGACCATCTCGCGACATATACACACAATAAAGGATGCTGATCGGTCTGTTGACCAGTTGCAACAGGCTATTATCTCGTCCTTTAATTGCAATTGTCCAGCTAAGACCACTCGCGGACCAAGGAGAGCGCCTTGGTGGAATAAACAGCTGAGTGGGCTTAGAACCAAAACGAGAAAGCTGTTTAATGAAGCTAAAAGAACAGGGCAGTGAAACACCTACAAGGAAGCCCTTACCTGTTATAACAAAGAAATAAAGAAAGCCAAGCGATCCTCATGGAGAAGGCAATGACAGGAGATCAATTATGTACCAGGCGGTGCCAGACTCATGAAGATTGTGGCAAAACAGGCAACCAATAAGGTCAACATGATTAAGCTGCCCAATGGGCAGTATACTCAAAAAGGAAGGGAGACACTGAACGAATTATTCAGGGTTCACTTCCCTGATTCAAAATTGATTGATAATTTGGATGATGGACAGGGTCAGCAAAACCTGGACACTTGCCAAAGCAAGATGCACAGGGCAGACTGGAACCTGGCCAAAGTCATAATTAACCAATCAAAAATCAGATGGGCACTGAATACCTTTAGACCATTCAAGTTATCGGGAAAAGATGGAATTGTACCAGCACTTTTGCAGCATGGGGCAGAACTCTTAGCTCCACACCTATGCCACATATATAGAGCCTGCATGGCATATGGTTTCATCCCCATGGCCTGGAGGCAAGTTAAGGTGATGTTTATTACAAAGCTCAGGAAACTTGATTATACCGAGGCTAAGGCTTGTCGTCCTATCAGCCTGTCGTCTTTCCTTTTGAAAACAATGGAGAAAATAGTTGATGGGCATATCAGGGACAGGGTGTTGAGGACATATCCTCCACACCGAAACCAGCATGCCTACCAAAGAGGTAAATCTACTGAAAGTGCACTACATAATGTGGTAACACGCATAGAAAGTGCGATTGAACACAAGGATATTGCCTTAGGAGCATTCCTTGACATAGAGGGAGCTTTTGATAGAACCTCATTTGATATAATCAAACAGGCCGCTGGAAAGCATGGCACAGAGCCTGTAATATGCAGGTGGATCAGTGCTATGCTGGAAAGCAGAACCATAGCTGCTACATTATCAGGAGAAACCCTGGGGGTGTCCGTGTCTAGGGGTTGTCCGCAGGGGGGTGTACTCTCGCCTCTGCTGTAGGTCCTGGTCATCGACAATCTCCTGTGGGAACTTAATGATGATGGGTATTATACAGTAGGATATGCTGATGACATAGCAATCCTCATAAATGGAAAATTCCTTTCGACCGTATCAGAGCATCTTCAAACAGCTCTGTACACGGTTCAATGATGGTATGAAAGAACAAGTCTTTCCATCAATCCCAATAAGACAGTAATTATACTGTTTACTAGGAAGAGAAATATAAAGGGCCTTAAGGAACCGACCACCTTCAATAAGACAATCCAGCTCTCCAGCGACATCAAGTACCTTGGTCTAGAATTAGACAAGAGATTGACATGGAAGAAGCAGCCGGAAGGTCATTAACAAAGCCTATAAGGCTTTTTAGACATGCAGAAGCATGAAGAAAGCAGTCTTCTGGGATTTGGCACCGTGTATATGTGGTGTTAACCGACGTTTCGGAGGAACGTATGGCCTCCATCTTCAGGGTAGAAGAAAAAATATAAGAATTCTGCAAGCGGAGAGACCGTGAGAACCGGTAAAAGCAGACTCCTCTGAAACGTCAGTTAACACCACATATACACGGTGCCAAATCCCTGAAGACTGCTTTCTTCATAGTCACCGCCGTGAAAGCCTCAAATCTTACATGCAGAAGCATGTTTGGTAAAACTTGGGGACTTCAGCCGCACGTTGTGCATTGGATATACACTGTGGTTGTAAGACCGATAAATACATATGGTGCCACAGTATGGTGGCCCAGAGTTAAACTCAAGACAAGCAAGGCAGAACTTAGGAAATTGGAAAGGTTGGCTTGCTTGGGTGTCACAGGAGCAATTCGAACATCTCCAAGAGCTGCACTGGAGATACTCCTTGGACTCCGCCCACTGCATATACAGTTGGAGGCAGAGTCCAGGGCAGGAATCTACCGTCTCCAGTGCAGTGATCAATGGAAACCTGGATCCGGTGGTTTCGGCCATGCATACATAACTCAGGACACAAAAAGAGAACCCATACTACAAACTGGGTCTGACAAAATGATACTGAGACATGTATATGAAAAACCTTTCACAGTCAGATTTCCTGACAGGAGTGAATGGGAAGACGGGTTTAGGCCCGATAGAAAAGGGGAACTGATCTAGTATACAGATGGTTCCAAGATAAATAAGGGCACTGGAGCTGGTGTGTACTGCTATGGCACAAGGCGGAAACTTAGTTTCAGCCTTGGGCAGTACACGACACTATTCCAGGCAGAAGTATATGTCATTATGGCATGTATTATGGAGAATTTAGATAGGAACTATGGAAATAGGAACATCTACATTCTATCTGACAGCCAAGCTGCACTTAAAGTGCTTGACAAACACAAGATCAACTCAAAATTTGTCTGGGATTGCCACCAAATCCTCATGGAACTGGCCAAACATAACAGGGTACAACTGATATGGGTGCCGGGGCATGAGGGTATTGCTGGAAACGAAACAGAAGACCAATTAGCTAAGATTGGAGCTGAACATCCGTTCATAGGACCTGAACCAGCCTTTGTGTAGGAGTTGCCAGACAGGCAATCAGGGACTGGACAAACATGAAACACAAGAAATATTGGGGATCCTTTACTGGACTCAGGCAAGCAAAGAGACTCATACAAGGACCCTCAGCTAAGAGAGTGAAGGAACTGTTGAAGTTAAACAGGAACCAACTACGATGGATGGTGGGACTACTTACAGGACACTGTCACCTTAAAGGACCCCTCTTCAAACTGGGACTAAGTGATAGTCCCACTTGTGAGAGGTGTCAAGAAGAAACTGAAACAGCCACGCATATCCTGTGTGAATGTGAGGCCTTAGCTTATTTAAGATTACATCACTTGGGTCATTAATTTATGGAACCAAATGACTATTTCGATGCCCCCACAAAATCCTGAGCGTCACTCGAAGCGCAGGATTGCTGAGAGGATAATCAAAAGGCGAAGCACAACAGACCACTGTAGGTCTAGGTGCAAGGGCTGAGAATGCCTGCCCCTCATACTTACATTCATTCATAACACAAACATTTTAAAATGGCAATACTGTCTCCTTCTTTTCCTAGAATCATTTCCATTTCATGTTCTTCTAAAATCTGACAATGATGTAGCATTATAGCACTGCATTTTGACTTTATCTCATCTTTTAAAATACTGAATTCTGAACATTACATATTATATTTTGGGGATTTGTTACATCTCCCCATGTAAAGCACAAATGAGAGAACCATATTCTGTTGGTTCCATTATACAAAGTTAATCTTCATCAGTAGGCACAGAAGCAATTTGGAAGATTAAAGGTGTTGCCATGTGAAATGACTACACTGTGGGTTCTGGTTGCAAATGACAACACATAAAAAGAGCAACCAATTCTGGCTGGGAGATATGCACAATAAGAATCTGGCAAAAGTCTCGCAAGTCAAAAAATTAATCAACAGAATAATGTGGATGGCAGGAGTAGTTTGCACGAAATAAGACAAAATCAAGCAGGAGAAAGTATGGAAAGTCCATATGTTAATTAATAAACCTCACAGAAAGAAAAAATGCTGATAACAGGCATTAAACACAGCAGATTATGTACACAGTCAGCATGATTTCCATTTCTCTAAGAAAAGGAAGCAGAATAAGCCATAAAAATTATATGAATTCCACACACCTCTCAGAAGACACCATATAGTGAATGACAATGTTTTTCACATCTGACAAGTTCACATTACTGCTGCATTTAATGACTACAGGATATTAAAAAGCATGGAGATGAAGTGGCATTCACTGGGATTATGTTCAGAGTTCCATACAAATCAGTCAATTATAATCTAAAATATTCAGGTCTGTAACTGAATGAAGGGATGGACAGGCATACTGTTCTTCAGATAATTTAATTTTTGTAAAAATGTGGTTGTATTTTGTGAACAATGTCTTCACTCAAATATGTTAACAACAGGAACAACTTGTGTGAAAAGTACTATCTTCTGGGATATAACACCGTGTAGTCCATGACAGCACCAATTACAGTGGCTGCGCAGTCTAAGGCATGAACTGTCTTGCCCCCATTCAACACTGGGATCATGGGGTTGAATCCCATTCAAGGCATGCATGTCTGTCTTTGTTTATTCTGTGTTTGTGTTGTCTTGTGTAGGTAGCAGCCTTGCAACAGGCTGATCCCCCGTCCAAGGAATCCTACCAACTGTCTTAGGATTAAGAAACTGAAGTGAAACAAAGCATTTCACAGATGACCTATGCTCTGAAGTGGGAGCAACAGGAAAAAGGGAGGGTGAGGGGTGTGTGTGTGTGTGTGTGTGTGTGTCCATTACAGCACAGCTCTGCTTTCCACCTGCTTTCACACTAGTTTCTTGCTTGGCTTATTCTTTGACACTGATGATGGAGGTGATATGTTCCTCCGATACACTGATCAACTTTCAATAGACTACATGGCATTATAGCCCAGAAGACGGTACTCTTCATAACCACCACTGTGAGAACCTCAAATCCTACAACTTCTGTGAACATGCAAGCATAAGGGATAATCCTAAGCTTACCTTGAATCATCTTGCAAAGCATCGGTTATCTCCTTAATATCATCCTGAGTGATTGTACCTTCTGGAGCAATACTTTTGAAATGATAGAACAGATCAGCATGCTCCAGCAGTAATTCCTGTACAAACACATACAAAAACTACTATGTCATTTAACATATTCTCTCGTGATGTGTAACACAAGTTCAAAAACACTGTTTAACAATACAATAAACTTAAATAAAAAGAGACACATTATACAGTACTATATGCATATAATTATCAAATGAGATTACTGGTCAAGAAAGTTTCAAAATGTTAAATAGCCAGTGAATTATCAGCAGTTTCAATTCATAGTTACTGCACAGAACAGGAATAGTGAAGAAGTGGCATCTGTACCAAGTTTCATCAACTCACATTCTGGCTGGTACTGCTGATTAGAAATTTTGTCTCTATTAATATCTGCACAGTCATCTGTTAATCTGGGAGTATACCAAGCCACATTCTTTGCTGTTACGTTGTGTGTCCACAAAAGAGTATGGCTACCAACATAGGTACACATGTTTGTATGTTTTTTAAATCATATATTATGAATTACTTTCATCTGAGAAATACATAAGATTATAAAGAAAATGAGTGTTTTTTGTGTCACTCTCAGAACATCCACATAGAAGACAAGAATTAATAATTAAATGTATATATCACATAGTGCATTATTAAAATCCCCTGATATTAAAATTTGTTACAGCAAATGTTTAATTTCATAAGTTTTGCATTATTTCTTATAAGGATATAAGGTATAACAATGTAGATTAGATTGAGTGACTATCAGCTTCCCAAGAACAAACCTGGTCCATGGAGTCATTGGTGCTACAAAATACATGCTGTCTCAGAACCAGGCCACAAACTATATCGACAAAAAAATAGCTGTTCGGAAGCAAGATGGTACTCTGAATATGACTAACCTGAAAATTATGTTTTGCCTTTTCTATTATTTCCTTCTGATGCTGGTCATAAATGTGTTGACAGTCCATTTCTGATAATGCTTCAAAACATTCCCTGCCCATGAAGAGAACTCTAACTTCTGATAAAGCTTTTCCAGGAGTTACATAACCTGTATCTTCCAAAAGTTGTTTGAACTGCTTTTTCCACCTGAATGTAAAGGTAAAATGTTTATTAATATAATAACATACATGGTGCCACCCCAAACAACAATGTTGAAGACGACGACAACATGTGTCAGCAAAATAAGGATGAACTGCCTGTCTGAACTTTTAATATGTAATGGGAATACTATACATGCATACTTATAAAAATTTAATTTGAATGAGTGGTTTCAGTGATGCAGGCTTTTATTTTGATATGTAAAATCATAATCTTAATATACAGATTTCCATAAACGTTTAGCAAGATCTCTCTAATAATCAGTGATGGCATAAACCAACGTATAACCGCACACGGCCTGAACACTTCTTACAACCGTTGTTCGTCAGTTCTTATGACCGTTGCCTATCTATCTTTATGTTTATTTATTTGTTTGCCCGCTTCGGTAGAACACTTTTGACTCTTCTCAGGGTTGTGCCACGGTAATAACTGGGGCAACGCGGAGACTGCACATTTAAAACTAGTCCACTGATACAAATAAATACTCTCTTTCTGCTTAATCACAATATTGTTTAATTCAGAATCAAACTATAACTTTATCGGCGAGTAGGGAGTAATGTACCAAAGATTAATCGAGCCAAATAAATACTGTTAAATTTAGATAAACTTGGAGAGAGCAGGTAAATGACGTCTGCCTCTGGTGAATTCTAAGTGCCAAGTCGCTCTACGTCTGTCTCTGGTGAATTCTGAACGCCAAGTGCTTCTGCCCACTCTATCTCCGGGAGCGTCACTTCTTACCGTATAGGATTTGAACCGACGGCCTTTCTCCCAGACAAGAATTCTCTCTAATGGCTGATTTTAACTGCCAAATCATGATACCATCAGTACAAGACAATCACATTACTAACTTTGAGAATGAAGAGATCCAGAGATATTGAACCCTGGACCCTACATGTGAAAGCACTTATGTCTTAGTTTAGGGCAGACAACAAACATATCCTTTTCATAATTGCCTCGACCCTCTAACGGTCACCCAAGGTCCAGGTATCAAAATAAGTTGTTCCTGTCTAAATGTGAAAAGCATGTCAACTTCTTAATGGATGGGTCTCCCTAATAAATCAGTCACTCTATTGAAATGACTAAGTGGAACACAGTGTCCATTAAAGAATATTAAAAGGTTTGGACGGTTACAAACGGTCAAGGATGATGTGACTTTACATTTACAAATCACAAATTTACATCATCACTTCTCTGTGCCAGTGGTTCAATCATGTAAATGCATCCTGAAGAGACATACATAATGATATGTATGACATAATTCGGCAAAAGGTGTATATAATCCAAAGACTGAAATGTTGTGACAGCAAACATGTAGTCAGTCAGCCACATACAACATACACAGCAATCAGAAAGTCAAGCAGTCCCCTCTCCACCAAAATATTATAATGCTGATCACAGAAAATGTGAAAACAACTACCACTTTTGGGGATGAATGCATTTATCTATTCCTGCATGTTTTATGCAATGCGGAATACAGTAATTCCTTTAAATGAAAAATATCCATACGAGGGGGCACCCAAAAATAACCGGAAACGACCTGTTGCGTGCACATGCTTTGTAGTTACGAGTTGTGCTGCTAGGTGGTGTTAGCTGGGGGTCTCCCGCGACTGTTAGTGAGCTGGCGTCAGTCTGAGTTAAGTGGTTTGTCTGTGGTGCTCTGTTGTGTGCGTTCCTGTTTCAACCCTTTGGCGATTAGTGAGATGGCCGACCAGAAGGAACAAAGAGTGTGCGTGAAATTTTGCTTTCTGTTAGGGAAAACTGCAGCCGAGACTGTTGGGATGCTTCGGCAAGCCTTTAATGATGATGCTTTGGGGAAATCACAGGTCTACGAGTGGTTTTCCCGTTTCAAATCTGGCAACATGTCAACAGAAGACATGCCATGCCCCGGGCGTCCTTCGACAGGAAGAAATGACGAAAACATTGCCAAAATCAAACGTGCAATTGATGAAGATCGTCGAAAGACCATTGACCAACTTTCTGAGGAAACGAACATCTCATGGAGCACGGTCCAGCGAATTTTAACCGAAGGTTTGCACATGAGACGGGTGTCTGCAAAATTTGTTCCTCGCTTGCTCGGAGATGACCAAAGAGAAAACCACGTGAATGTTTGCCGCGACTTGAAGAGTGAAGTGCAGTTTTCCCTAACAGAAAGCAAAATTTCACGCACACTCTTTGTTCCTTCTGGTCGGCCATCTCACTAATCGCCAAAGGGTTGAAACAGGAACGCACACAACAGAGCACCACAGACAAACCACTTAACTCAGACTGACGCCAGCTCACTAACAGTCGCGGGAGACCCCCAGCTAACACCACCTAGCAGCACAACTCGTAACTACAAAGCATGCGCGCGCAACAGGTCGTTTCCGGTTATTTTTGGGTCCCCCTTCGTATATCTGGGGTGCCACACATTTCAAATTATAATGTATTAACCAAGGAATTTTTGGAAAATTTCCCATTACAGACTTTGTGATATGAGCTACTTGCTTCAGTCTGTTTAAGCCAGTAGGCTAGACTCTACAGCTGCAATAGCTAAATGAGCACACAGGTGAATTATTAGTAACATCTGGAACCTCAGTGAATAAAATGGGGCCAATTACATGCTCACATGAAACTTCATACTCTACTTCAGCTTCCTATGACTGTAATGAGCTGCTCATGGTATATCTGATGAAATTAGATTATAAAATATTTTCTTGATCTTGACAGAGAATTTTGTTACTACCAAAATTGTTCTATTGCTTTTCAGAGTGGCAGAACTTCAAATTTGACAGCATGGGCTATTAACATATCCACTGATACAGAATCAAGTAACACTTTATCCTGAATGGCTTCACCATCTCAGGTTAAGTTTCAAAACCAGTGGCAATATCAGTATTTTCAATTTGCCAAATTCCCTTACTTTGCACCTGATATGCATACAATAAGGTTAAAATGTCCAAATGTTTGTCACCTTACACACATTTTGGTATGATAATCCAAAATGTCGAGCAAGCTTTCTTAGAAACTTCCACCAATGTTTTGCAGACGGAACACAACAGTGAAGGTCATCCACAATGCATCTTATCATCTGCATGTCTTATGTCATGGAAATGTTTTATTAAATAACATATTGCTGTCTGGCACAGAACAGTTCATGAAATTCATTCACGTCAGTCTGCCAGGCAAGGAGAATGTGATGGGTAAAGATCAACATTAAACACGCTATAACTGTCTAGACATATCTGTTTAAAAATCCCTTCAGTATTACTGCCCTTCAAACATATATCACTGTATTTCCTCAATTCTAAGAAATATATTTTTCAAATTTTAACATTTCTGAAACCAGAGTGCATCTTGTAATTGATGACATTTGAGAATCAACATAGGAAAATTATACTGTATGACTAAAGTGCTATGGAGATCTTCATATGCATAATACTGGTCATAGGACAGTAAACAGAAAACCTGAGAGTATACATATATTCCACTGTTAAAAATGCTGTTACTTGTGATACTGTATAAAGCACCTGACGTTGGCTAGAAGGCTGAAAATACCAAGTACCGTATTTGCCAGAACATAACGCATGGTCCCCCCCCCCACACACACAATATTGCTTTTTAGAAAAAAGGGGCTGCTTTATTTTTGGGGTCCTTAAGAATAAACTTGAAAAAGATGAGGTGTTCCAGTTACTAATTCTACTCATATCTGTGAAAATATCCAGAATTATAATTAAGGTATTAAATTTTGAATTCACTGTTTCTTAAAAGAAAAGTTTTTACTTAATTTTGTTTACAACCCTCAGAACTAATGATATATATAATCTGTTAAAAATACTTTTTTCCCCAAATTTTTCATTGGAAAAATAGGGGTTGCCTTATATTTGGGCTTATATGGTAGATCTAATATTAGCTAATCATGTGCTATACCTATGCTCATTGCTGAATCTTACAACCTTTCTTAAAATCAACACTTCAGTTGGGGAGGAGTGAGTATTGTAGGCACTGCTGAACATTCAGTTATCATCTCAGTTCAATTATGGCTAGGCTCAGTGCTATACGTGGATGTATTTAAATTTGTATGTGAAATTTAAAACCCCACATACTGTAGTACTTGTCACTGTACAACATCCCTGCATTGGTTCCATTATGAAGTAGCAGTGAAACAAAATCAATGATGCACCTTTCATTTCATGGCATCTTAGAATCAAGGAAATTAAGCATATTGAGAGATGGTTATAAACATGAAATGGAAAACAACATAATAAGGTGAAAAGGAGACTGTAGAACCAGCTTACATCCATAATTCATTACAAATACAAATCATCATACTGTACACATAAGTATGTTATATATACTGGACATTGACTAGGATTATAAATGATATTATTTATAGGAAAAATGTAAGGTTCACTGTGTAGTTCATGCTGATACATGCTGAAACTGAATGACCTAAGGACCCTTCTTGATTCAAGCAACTAAACATTTTAACTTTTACATACCTTTGAGGTAATCTGCAGCAAACAGAGAAATAAGACGTACAACTGTTAATATGAGCTTTGTTAAACTACATATACTAGTATTTCCAAGAGAGAAACAATTGATGTACTAAATTTATATTTCAGAGATATACAAGAAGGATTATGATTATTTAATTAGTATTAGCACAATGAGAACTTCAATTACAAACACTGGATTATAACCAAATAATTTTTACATTACACAAATTACTTGAAAATCAAAAGAACTGAGTAATAGGAGAGTCAAGTGTTCAGGTAAAAAATATTTTACTACAAGTTCAGTACCAAAATGTAGTTCAATGGTATAACTTACTCCAGTCTTTTCTGTTCCTGCTGCAAACCACTAACGTGGCTTTTATAAGTCTTTTCTGCTTCACTTGTATCCAGAACATCATATGGAATTCTTGTCTCATTCCCTTCATCAAAATCACATTCTGTCCATGGTATACCTTCAGGACTCTCATAGAAGTACTGATTGAAATCAGGGTGTTCTTTGATACGCAACTGAACTGATGACCAGTCCCTGAAATAACCATTTAATTAAATTATTATAGAATGACTGTAAACTACAAAATTAAAACCATTTACTAGTATCAAAAATTTCTATGACTAGTGAACATTAAAATTAGGATAACTATTTCAAGAAAAGGTTTATGATTACAGAAATTTGAATGAAACTTGCATATGAAGCACTTTTTGTTTTACTGTACAACACAAAAGGTACAATCAGTGCATACAGACAATGTAGCATCATTATGGGTACAAATTTACCATATATGGTACAGACTTCTACTTATGTAAGATGTTTCATGATCATGGGGCTTCAACTAAGAACATACAAAGGAACAATTTTCACTCATAAAGAAAATCAAACTCACCTTTAATGTAAATTCAGAATTTCCACTTCTTTTATTCAGTGAGGGGGACAGTCACACTTGATCAGTGTTTCATTTCCAGAAAGAAAAGTGCTGGTTTGCATATTAAACAACTGTGGAACTCTTAGACTCAAAGTAACATCATACCATGAAGCTCCTCTACCAAATTCCCCCAAACAAAAATTTCAGTATGAATTGGTGCAAAAGAAAAAAACTGTGCATAAGGTAGGAAACAGAATGTTGTAATGGTATGGACATATATAAAAAATGGCAAAACATGTCCAACCAAGACAAATTAATTGACATCAACTGAAATACATTGAAAGGGAAGAACAAAAAACAGTGTGTTTTGAATACATTCATAAAAGGAGTGGAACACAATGACTGACATATATTAGGAAAGAGACAATGAATTCTATAAAAAGAAGAGACAAAACTTACAAATCTCGAAGTGCTGTCACATCTGGAAACATCTCTTGAAGAATGTCAGGAAGCATATCCATATAACCTTGAATTTTCTTAGCAAAATGTTCATCCTGTAGCTTCTTCACGTGTCTCTTAAATAATCTCTGCGAGCTGTCCATTCCAAACAATTCAAGAAAGTGCATGAACTCTTTATGCTGGAATAATTTCTTCGATGTCAGACTCCAGGTCGCTCTGTAATCAGATACCTGGGAACGTATCAGCAACTGCAATGCTTCTGTTGACTGGTCTAAAATCTCTTTCCTCACCCTTGCTGCTTCAATGTATGGTAAGATCCTTGCCCTTCCTCTGGTGCGATCAATCAGCTGAGCCAGCACTATGAAGGCTATGTCTACATTGACATTCTCATGCGCTGAGGTTTCCACCAACATTATTCCTCCTTTGTACTCTTTCTTACTGACTAGCTTCTCAGCTTCTTTCACATATGTTTCATTTCCATCATCATTTTTGGTAGTGACAAGAACAATTGGTTTCTTGGTTTTCATTAGATTATTCAGTATGCCAGATACTGCTTCTACCTGCTTCTCTATAGTTCTAGAAGGTACCGAACTGACATCGAAAACACACAGAAATCCATCAATGTTTATCTTCCCATCTGGTAAAAGTTTCTGTTCATATTCTCTTTCAATGCCTGAAATCATCAGTGTCAATATTCACCATTAAGAAAAACAATACCTCTGTTCAGACACTTCTCACAACAACATCAATTCAAATGTCAATACAATATGGCCTATACACAAAAGTTAACTGTAACAGATGTTAATCCTGCTTCAATTAAGGAAGGTATTCACTATCATTTTTGCCAGACCTGGCTATCTTGACAAATTCTTGGGGAGGTCTGTTCAGTTTCGCCAAGCAAACAACAGGAAAGGACCTTCAAAACAATCAATGACAACTTACTCCCTCCATATTTCCAAACTCAGAATTATCCTATTTATCATTTTGTGGCTATGTAACCTTTGCAAATAACAGAGTATTACTAGTAAAATATAAAACAAAACAACAGTCTGAACCAGAGGTCAATTCACTTTTATTATAACACACACAGAAATAATTTAGATGCCAGCCATTCGCTTCTCAGCAAGACTCTCTTCCATTTAGTTACATAAAAAGTTCTGGCCATCTTCAGTATTTATGATATACCACTAATATTCTTCAGCAGTGTTCAAAGACCTCATAAGAGATGACTGTAATAATGTATATGTAACTGTGAACAAACATTGTTAATTCATTTCCATTTATAAGTCATATTTCTTGTCCTTAACTTTTGTATGAAATGTAATATGTCAAAATGTTTAGTTAACATTTATAACACTGTTATATTCTGCATAGTTTCTGCAAGCAGGATCAATTCATATGAAGATCTTTATTCACTGATGTGGAATATTAGTAGTATACTGCAAATACTATGTGTTTAAGTTCCACTTGTTCATGAACAAATTCAGGAAAAATATGTAGTGGAACTGTAGACTTTTTATTATATATATATATATATATATATATATAATTGTGTCGATACACAACAGGGAGCAAAAAAATTCACACCATATTCCACTCTAGTCAAGTCACAAGACATGATTGGTTCTTATAACCAATAAGATTTTTTCACTTAAAAATTATGTATATCTGGAAGACAAGGTGTCCAGTGTATGACAGACTGTGGAAGTCAGAAGAGTTTATAAAAACCTCTGTAACAATTATTCCACACTGTACCACCCTACAGAAAATTTGGTCAAGTATGAAGTAATTGTGAAATTCAAAAAAAGTTTTAGCAACATATTATGAAGAAGCAGGGGCACATGGTAGCGTAGTTGGTTGAGAGGCTATGCGGGTTCAGGTCCCAATAAGGTCACTGGATTTTTTTCAGTTGACCTAGCCAGCCACACTAGGCCCTGGGGTTTACTCAGCCTCTAACAGAAATGAGTACCAGGAATTAATTAAATAATTTTCCTGGGGAGTAAAGTGCAGCCGGAGTGTAAGGCTGACAACCTTACCGCCGTCTATGAGCCGATTGTCTAGATAATGTGGGACCCTCAATGTCTCACAATCCTATGGGCCTTCACAACCTGGTACAGGGATAGCTTTACTTTCTTTTTACTTTTATTATGAAAAAGCAAAAAACATTTTATACAAGCTTTGTGATAAGAAGGGATACACATATGACATGAAAGTTTATCTAGGGAAAGATCATGCAAAAGCTGCTGCACATGTCACCCCTACAAATGCAACAATGCTCCATCTAACAGTAACAGTGTTGGACACAAGTTGATTCATGGAAAACCATTTTTCATCAACTCAACTCTTTTTGGGCTTATCTAATAGCAAAATAAACATTTACAGATCTGTCACAACAGAACTGGCAAACTAACAAGCTTTGGAGTGACAGACATGAGAGTGAAGAAAGAGGACACTACACATCAAAGTGAAAGGAGGCAACAGTGCCACCTAGTGTATAGTAGACCAAGAGGAAAAGTGAATCTTCCCAGTAACATTCATCATGTCATTCTGTGGATAAACAAGAAATGCATCAAGAGCTCTGTGCATTTAATGTTATAAATGGATTATTTACTGGAAAACAAGGAACTAGATGAAAAATTATTTTTCTGCTTAGTCAACCTAACAATCCTTAAAGAATTCATAACACAGAAATACTATCTGAAGAGATTCTCCTTATATAGAGTTTTGAGAATGATTTACAGGAAGTTTGGCTGATGCCACTTAAAATAAAAACCCAAGTCCTTTAACATCTAGTCATAGCTGGTGGTTACCACAAGAGGTTTCTGTCTCTCAACTCTGCTTCAAACATTCAGATCACCTTCCTAACAAAGGTTTCTCTTTAACATGTTGCTCAAACGTTCTTTCCCTTACATTTTAAAGTTGTAAAATGCAAATAAAATGAATGGTTTTATAGAAATAACTGTCAGGTTCATAAACATTCAAAAATGTTTTTGTTGCAATGCAATATCTAAAGCATCTTTAACCACGACCATTTTAACAAAAGGAGCTACTGAAACAGAGAAATAGCTAATTCAAATGCATCTAGCTCACTGTAAGCTGATCATTTAAATTTCCCTTACCACTACTGCAAGTTGTATGTGTTGTGCCAGTAGAGGGTTAAAGAGACAATCACTTACCAAGCTGATTTTTACAAATGTACATTAGTTTTTCTGCAGAAGTAATCTTTGTTGCACTACATCTTTTTGCATACGGTTCCATTTTACTACCTGTAACAAAATATAATAAGTACATAGACAATCTTAACAAGGATATTAAAGAACCTTCCAGAATTGATCAGGTAAGGCAGTAAAATACTGTGATCATTAAAAAACAGAAGAAAATACAAGCACTCCGAAGCATTTACTCTATTCTGTCTAGTTGTAATATGTAGTGTGGGTTAACAAACATGTGGATGTTGAGGCTACACAATACACTTAGACATCAATACCAAAAATGCAGGTCATATAATTACAATAAATATTCGCTAAATTAATATTAATAAAAATTCATTTTGATATGCCTGTAAACAATGAGTATAACCTTGTAATATAAAAAGGTAAAGGTGGTAAAGTTGTCCCTGTGCTTAACTGATTAAGCAATATGCCATGAAGATGTCTAGGGAATTAAGAAGTATAGATCCATGTATTCTTGACCTCAGCACTTGTTGAAGGTGAATGGTCAGCTTCATAGCCCAGCCGCTTTACCCCTAGGGAAACAGACCCTGGTACCCTTCAGACAGGAGACTGGGTGAGCCCCAGAACCAGTGTAGATGATGGACAGAGGAGAAAAACCTTGCCCTTACTAGGACTTAAAACTCCAACACCTCAGCAACCCAGCCCATAGTCACTCACTATATCAACTGCGCTATCCTGGCTCCTTGTAATACAAAATAAAATATAAAATTAATATAAAATTTTAGGCCTTATATAAAACCAGTATGTCTAGAAGTCTTAACTAATTTTATTTTTCAGTGTGCAAAATATTGTGCTTCTGCCTTCTCAGCAGTCACAACTAATTTTTTTTTCCTTTCCCTCCACACTGCTTTCTTACAAACATTGTAAAAATGTTTGTATTTTGTATTACAAGGAGCCAGGATAGCGCAGTTGATATAGTGAGTGACTATGGGCTGGGTTGCTGAGGTGTTGGAGTTTTAAGTCCTAGTAAGGGCAAGGTTTTTCTCCTCTGTCCATCATCTACACTGGTTCTGGGGCTCACCCAGTCTCCTGTCTGAAGGGTACCAGGGTCTGTTTCCCTAGGGGTAAAGCGGCTGGGCTATGAAGCTGACCATTCACCTTCAACAAGTGCTGAGGTCAAGAATACATGGATCTATACTTCTTGTAAATCTTTTAATATGAACAATGATTTTTGCTCTTGCATGCTAAGTTATGGGATTACACTGTAAGTTACGAGAAGCTTAACATCTGGAGTACAATTATACATTCCCCAAGAAGATATATATTTCATGCAATGCTGTAATAGAAGGCATAAAGGAAATCTTCACACATTCATACAAGCTAAAGAGAATGCACATGGCAACGAACCTTCAGCAAAGAAACAGAGAATTTCTTGACCAGGTGCATAATTATCGGCTGTGCAAGAAAATCCAAGTATCACTGAATTAGTTCAATATTATTAACTATATAAAATTAATTTGAGTGACAAAAATATTCTACTAACCTTTAAAAGGCTGAAAGGTTGCGTCATCTATAAACTCTGTTTGCTCTATTACTTGGAATAGGAAATCTATACCATCTTCTGATGTCTTTGTTACTTCACCCCAATAAAGAAAGTGGTCATTATTTACAACCCTGCCACTGAAATCGGTCTGTAAAGGAACATGAAAGTTTTAGAACAGGCAAATGTATCGTTTCAGATTTGATTCTCTGAAACCCAACTTCTTACCTGACTTAGAACAGATATGTGATCCACACTGTAGTCATCAGCGAGGGCTGCCATGAACCGATTACAGAGGCAGGACTTTCCAACCCCTGCTTGGCCCTTATCCTTTTCAGTGCCTGACAGCCCCACCACAGCCACATTGAATGAACGCATTTTACCATTCTTTCTCGCCATATTTCAATCCATTTCATGCCATTTTTCTATGAAAAATGCATCTGACTAATTTATGTATCAATTGGATGTCTCTGTTAATAAACTCACAACACCTGGAAATAAAAAAAAGGAACCATGAAAACTTAGCCGCAGACAGTTAAACATTAGTCGTGGAAATTTCACAGAAATTAAGTTAATTTGAACATAAAAAATATCATAGTGCCATAAATAGTAACAGATCCTTAAAGATTCCATACCCAGATACTGGATACTACTATGAGTCAATTAAATTCAGTTCAGATTCTCATAACCTATTTCCCTACAAGCCGGTGGTCTGAGAATAAGGAACTGTCCTTCTGTGAAAAAGATCCTGAGTTCAAAACCAGTCAGATTAGAGGCAATCTTTTCACATAACTATCTCTCCCTTTTTCACTTCTCATAAAGTCAAACCTCAGACCCTACCCTTATTTGATTTAATGTTTCTTAATTTAGACCACATGCTCAAATTTTTGTGCTCTCCCAAGATAGAAGTTTTACTCTCATTAACCACCTTCCTGTTTCCTAAGCCCTGAAGGGATAGGGGATGAAAAGCTATTCCAATATTTGACTAATTAAGCAATCCACAGAAAAAACTAAATAACTGGCTATAAGTAACATTTATTTAACCACTGTTTTAGATATTGGTCTTGTGTGACGCCAACTGTCCACAATGAAATTTAAAACACAGATCATTAAACCTGGCATTTTACATTATCACATTTTCTGGGTGCATTAACTGAACACCACTGGCATATCTTTCCTACACTTAAAACCAACTGTAAACCACAGGCTGATTTAAGAAATTGTACAGAACCAGTTAAATGATTTCCACAATTAGACAACTGTAACTAACTTCTCACATGCTAAAAAGTTGAACACACTAAATATATCCAAATTAGATGTCATAAAACACAACTTATAATGAAAGATATTTCTTTCTGTACAAAGAAAGAACCTATGAGACAATAACTGAGGTGTGAATACAGATCAACTCTGCTTAAGAGAAAAAGCATCTCTAGTGGGTCATTCACAAATTTCCCAGTAAGGTAAGTAATATGACATGAGACTAATCATTTTAAGTTTTGTTTGCCAGGTTTCTTTCAAAGATCTAAGTAACTCAGAGGTAGTAATAGAATCCAGAGATTCAATGGTACAAGTAGTAAGTCCACTCCTGGACATGATCCCTAGCCACTTCAGTTAATTTAACTTTCTCACAGATTGTTTCCTCAAAAGGAGTTCAGTATAATATAGTTTCTTCTTGATGTTCTAAGAGGCTGCTTTCCAAGAGATATTTCTCACTATCAAGTTCTGTATGCACTTCCTTGCTTCCCCCTCTGAGCAACATAACCAGCTCATCCCTTCTTGATTTTAAGCACCCTAAAATCACTAGGTATGCTGCACAAATTATAAATTTCCATATCAAATAACACTGTTTAGAGTTAAAACTTTCATGACCACCTCTGAGCCTAATAAAATTTTGCAAGCCTACTGCATTTCCTTAGGAACTGGCATATGAAGAAAATGTTACCTTTCTGTGTCCATTAAAGGCAGAGGTACAGGATTTTGAACGTTTAAGCTCTCCTTAATTCTGCTTCTTCTAATTCACTAAAGTGCTAGTAACTCTGGTCCCAATTAAGTTACAGAGCCCATTCTGTATGTCATTCACAATATTCTATAGCGCATTAACATTTTGATTCTGATTTTCGCCTTTGACTGTAGTATATGGAAAACTGTACAGCCTGACTTATGCAAGATTTTCCATAACACTTTGCGATCATTTCAGTGCATCTTTGGAGGGTATCATCTTAGACATGAAAGTGACAGGATATGATTTTCTGTCTGTCTGCAATATGATAATGCATAACAAGTCATGCTGTGACCTGTACAGACATGCTACAAGGTATCATGATGCAACCAGCCTTTCAGGTCATGTTTGATGCCAGCAGAATTAAGTTTTACCTCCTTGTCTGGCAAATTATACAGCAAATTTGTCAACTGCAAGAGTAATTTACATCTAAAATCATTCCTAGTGCTGCATGTGTCAAAGAACTTCATGTTTTAAAACAGTACTGTAATCCCTTGAGTATCAGTAAATTATATGAAATGTCTTATGTTGGACTGGATGATAAAAATGGTTCTTAGTATTCAGAACATACAATCTGTAATAAATGCAGGAAAACTATTTCAAATCTACCTCAAATTTCTGGAAATGAAACAGTTATCTCACCAACCTTAGGATAGAACATCATGAAAAGGAAGACATAGGCAGTTTCAAAACTGAGCAGATCCATGTTGTTTCTTCCTTGAAGAAGAGCCTGGGGTCAATAAATGACTTATTGCTTTCCACTAAAAACTTCTGACAAGTGAAGTATCCAAAGGAAAAAGTAAGAAAACGAAAGGAGCCACAGAAACAAACATATTCAAATAAATAGACACCCATCACAGCAACAGTTTGGGTGAAGATGAAATGATAGCTCATTTGAAGGAAAATTTCCACATAACAGGAAAAGAGAGTGAAAAGATTAAACTTTTGACAGGTCTTCCCAAGAGATGGTCAAATAGGAAAATCCAAGAAAAGACTCAGATTATATGGTTTGGACTGCCAAGAAATTAGTGAATCAGAAAGAATCCTGTCAAACCCAAACATAAAATCATGGAAAGTGCTGCAGCATGAGACACATAATACTGTGAAGCAATTTTGTGTGTCTCATGAAATCAGAAGCATCATGGCAATGATGGTCCTCTCACATTCACCATTTAGTTCAAAAATTAAACAAAACCATCTATCTTATCAAATCCTTACGAGATTTGGTCAGTCTTCCAATTGTGAGAAGTGTGTATTTTGCGAAATTTGAATCTTTATTGAGATATGGTATTATTTTTGGGAGCTGTGGTCAAAAGGACATTCAAACTGTATTTAAAATCAAAAAAAAAAAATGTTTAATGACTGATCAAAAGAGTCAATAACAGGATATCGTGTAGAGAATTTTTTGGTGAATTTAAAATTTTAACCTTAACTTCATTGTATATCTTTGAGACGTTGTGTTTTTTAAGGAAAAATAGGATATATAACATCTCGTATTCAGATGTGCACGGTTATAACACAGTACATAAGCAGAATTTGTATGTCCAACCATGTAACACCTCACGTTGTAAAAGGAGTGTGATTAACATGGGAATAAGATTGTATAATAACTTGCCCTCTCAAATAAGAAGTATTCAAGAGTTCAAGGTTTTTAAGCGTCAATTAAAGGATTACTTGTTGTGCAAAGCTTTTTATTCCCTTCAAGAATATTTTTACAAGAATTAGCTTAATAAAAAAACAAAGATACTTAGGTAATTTATTTTAGCTATTGCATGTAATTTATAGTTTAGCTTTTGTTGCCTTATTATACTCATCCACTGTTTTATCATATTTAAAGGACTTATTATGTTATTTTTCTATGGTTTTTTATATTATTAGTCATTTGATGTGATGTTTAATCTCATATATTTTTTTAAAAACTGACTTGTCCAATTGTACATAATGTAACAGTTATGGATGTTAAATAAAATAAATAAATAAAATAAATGAGAAAAGATTACGTTTTTGTCAACTCAAAAGGCAAGAAAGTTCATCCTCAGAAATGACTGACACTGTGTAACCTAAAAGAAGGACATAAAAGAAGGATATTTGAGTTTTAATCAACAAAAGCATGGAAAGTTGTTAGGCTTTTTAAAAATCAACCTATCTTGTTTCATGGATGCTCCAGATTCTATGAGAATATTGTACAATACTTCCCTCCTAACGGAATCATAGGCTTTCTTGAAATCTATGAATAGCTGATGTACTGTCTCATTGAACTCCCATTTTTTCTAGAGTATCTGACGAATGCAAACCACCTGATCAATAGTTGATCTGTTACATCAAAACCCACACTGATGATCCTCAATAATTTTATTATCTATATATGGACCTAACCTTGAGTTGTGTAAGCTTTTATGGGTTGTAATTTAATCGATTCTTTTCCACTTTTTTTGTGGTTTGATTATCACTATGAATAATTTCATTTTATGACTGTTCTGTATGTGACTGAGTTCTATTTTATGAACTGTTCTTGTGTATGTTGTGTATACTGAAATCTTGTGAAATGCGTATGTTATGGTGTTGCATAAGCTTTTATGGGTTGTAATTTAATTGATTTTAACTTTAACAATTTCCACTTTTTGTGTTTTGATTATCACTATGTATAATTTCATTTTATGATTGTTCTGTATGTGACTGAGTACCCTTTTTTTTTACGTGCTGCAGTTCAGTGGTGTATGTTTGTTGAAGTGCATTCACCTGAGGATGGCCACTAGTGGCCAAAACATGTAGTGAACTGTATCTGAAGTTCTTTGATTGTTGTGTTGTGACGGCCCAATAAATAAGTTCTAAGTTGACTGAGTACTATTTTATGAACTGTTCTTGTGTATGTTTTGATTTCATTGTGACTTGTTCAACATCCTAGGCTTTGCCAAAAAGGATTTACTGAATTTAAAGAATAAATGAAATGAAATGAAATGAAATGAAATGAAATGAAATGAAATGAGAGAAGGATATTGAATAAAATTTTATATGAGGTTGAAAGCAGTGATAACCCCCGATAATTACTACAGTCACTTTTATCACCTTTCTGCTTAACTGGTACAATAATAGACACCTTCCACTGATCAGGCAATTCTTACTTATTCCAAGTAGAATTAATTAGCTTATGGATCTTAGAACATTAATATTTCACCTCCTGCTTGAATCATTTCTGCCAGAATTTGATCACTACCTGGTGATTTATTCCTCTTCAAATTTGCAATAGCAATTTCAACCTCAAAAGGACTAGGATCAGGTACTAACAGTTCCCTGTATGTATTTCTATCTGCCTAACATCATTGACCCTATGTACATTAAATAACTGATAGAAGTAGTTCTTCTACCTATTAAAAATGTTATGGGAATCTGCAAGCAGATCACCATTCTCATTTTCATTAAGTTACTTCTTAAATTCATTTATCCTTCTATACAGGTCTCTAATATACTTGTTCTTACTGTTCATTGAAAGCTCATTAATTTTGTCTTTCAGAAATTCACTCTTTTTATTCCTGAAAAGCCTGCTGGTTTCACGCCTTATATTGTTTAGATTATCCCCATTTATTTCGCTTGGATCCTGTAACCACTGCAATCTGGCTTGTTTCCTTTCATCTAGTAATTCTAAGCATCCTTTGTCGAACCATGGCTTATGCTTCAATTCATAATAACCTAGACTCAATTTGGCTGAAATTTTCATGTTCTAACAGTTTACCAAGCTCTATTAATATCCACCTCAGTGTCTAAGTTTTCCAAAGCTGTGAACCTATTTGAGACTTCAACACGATACTGCTCTTTATCCTCCACCTTGTTTAATTTCTAAAGATTGAACCTCTCCGTACAAACACAGTAAGTTGTTTGTTTACTAACTGGTAGTCTCTCCTTAACTTTTGCCACCATCGGATAGTGGTCAGTATCACAATCTGCTCCCCTGAATGACTGGATATTATTAAGATTTCCAGATTAATTCTAGAAATCTTAACATTATCTGTGTAAAGTTATATAATCTTAAAACCAAGGGACAAACAATATGATAACCCGTAGTTATATGCAGTTATGCAGCTCAACAACCCAGCCAGGTCCCAATACAAAATTCTACCCTACTCCCAAATCACAAAATACTTAAAAAATGCATAAATCTATCTGTTTTTTCATAAAGTCACAGGTCACAGTCAAAGAGTTAATATGCCCTAAAATACTGTGAGTGGCATACTACACTACCCCAAAATCCCACTTCAAAGCTTTGAATCACTAGATGAATGAACTCTCTGTCTTACTTAGGGCCAGAGCTTTAAACATTTTGATCAGAGTGTGGGAAAAGATAAGGAAAATTCAGAAATTAAAAAATAATTTTAAAATTAATTGACATAGAAAGGAAATTTTTGTATTTATTAATTACTCATCAGACTCTGTAGGCACACAAAATTAGATTGGAATCCAAGACGGTTATATCAAGTGCTGTTCTCCTTTTACATGAACAACCCAAATGTATTATCATCCATATCCCACTTCATCTCTGCTGGCTACTGTAATAAAATATATTAACTTTTATTTTGAAAAGTAGTAACAGAATATGCATTTTTGTCATACCAGGACTCTTCGAATATGGAATATGACACAACAGTCATCCACAGATCAATAGGATAAGGGAGTGAAATACTAATGCACAGATATACTATAGAATATAAACCTCAAGAAGTTCTTTTGGGATGTGACACCATGCAGTTTCATTGAATGGTATCAAAGTTTCAGAGGAACCTGATGCCTCATCTTCATAATAGAAGAGTAAAAGCTAGCATATACATTTAATACCATATATATATATTTAAATACACACACAAACACCACTTTACTCTGTTGCCAGAGAAATACCTTTCAGTGGCTTAACACAATGTAAATTTGGGACACAATCTGACAACCTGCACTTCAGAAAATGCATTACTGGAAAATTTCACTAACTATATGAATTTACTGCATGTCCCGTAATTACTGTAGGTTTCAGCAGTACTAAATACCACACCTCAACATGTGTATTAATGTGAGCTGCAACAGTCTTCTACAGACTACAATTAAATACTATGGAAGCTACATTCACCTTTAAAATTTTTTAGAGGAACGTCTCATATGACAATAAAACCTTCAAGCGGGAAACAACCACAATTTTAAATGGTGGACTGCATTAAAAATAAATCTGTATTACTAGTTGTAACAACAATGTACTCCGGAGTAATTCCTTGGTGCTGAAAAATATCAGCTTTGCAATCGCTTTCAGCCACTCTGGATACACTCAACTTTCCTTGTTCGCCTACTGGGGTAAACTGAAAGTTATTTCTTATAACAAACATATTTGTTCCTTCTTTGCATTTATGTATTATGGATATTAAGCAAGAACTGTTTACACCAAAATTATAGGCATGTGATATAATAAAATCGAAGTCTCACATACAGTCATTTGATCGTGGGCATTAGCATCCACGCGGATTAAATAAAACACTAGGTGCATTATTTACTGAATATTTGAAAAGGATACTGCAAAGAAAAAACTTGCAGTATACAGTAAAATACATATCAACCGAACACATTCTAACCTCAAGAACATGAAAATTTAAATAATAACATTCTGGGGGACTCTACGATAGACACGCATACAAAATTCTTTACCAGTGCCCATAAATACATGAAAACAGTTGTAAGTATTCAATCGGGTAGCACTCACATAATGAAGATTACACATTTGACAAGTACATCGAATACCCACTGCACCACAACCCATTCTCGCTTCGCGCCATATTGGAACTTGAAATATTCCTGTTTGTATCATCAATGCGGGAGAAAATTATACGAGTGAGCTGTTCTCGTGTGAAGAATTTAGTAACAAATCCTCTCACACTTTCAACCACATATGCAACAATACGGTCACAGCATATCGGAATGCAAATCTATGGAACAAATGAATGCTGGACACAAGAAAACCCAAAGCTCCCCTTCCAATCCCTCACCCCTTATTGAATGCAGTGTTCGTCACAAGGGCGCTGATGTGGGATAAGTCGAAGTATAGAGAGATCTGAACCATCTGCACGACCAAGAGCTACAATGAAGTTACAATAAAAGAAAATGCTAAGTTTTCTCTGGGCTTAATTAAGCAGTCACCACGCCATGAAGGCGTACGAGGAAGTGGAGGTATAGCCGCACCTCAACATTGCGTGGATGTTAGCGGTCAGCTTCACACATTGTAACTTAACCCCCTACGGAAATAGCCATTTGTACCCATTGTAAAGGAGTCTGGGTGGACCTTAGAACCGCTTAGAACCATCTGGACGCTATTAACTGAGAAAAATCTGTTGCCCTTGTCATGAATCGAACCCCGATTCCACGGTCGTAACGTAAATGCTATACCGACTGAGTTATCCAGGTTCCGACAAAATAAATAATACTGGAGTAAATGTATAGTGTATACTAGATTTAATTCAAGAGAATAATACAAAATGTGAATTTAGGACTAGTTGGTTCGATGCTAAATATCACTGACTGATGAACTTGCCTTTTATCTATGGCATTCTGGGATTAATCTGTTGATTATAAAATCCTTTTTAAAATTGTACACAACATCTGTTCGCCAATCTGTAATGATTTAAACGAATAACAGTGTTGGGTAATGGAATTCAGAAACTATAGATCTTAACAAACATGAACAAAACTGTCAAAATTCCTTCGAAGTACAATCTGGATTAAATTAAAAGATAAATTTAAGACGCTCAGAAACATGCAGCGTGAACGTTAAGTCTGCATATCGATTCTCTTTCAATATGCTCACAGCTTACGAGAAGCCTCACACAGTGTCAGAACACTGCTTCTGAAGAATGGGTCTACTACCAATGCAACAATATCACTTCTACTCGTATTGTTGTAGAAAGCAGTAACTAAGTATCTACTGTTACAACACGAATATTCAGCAGCACTAAAATCAAATTACGCCTTCATATAAGAAATGGCAAATCCACTAATCTCTCATCGTAGAAACCCATTTTCCTAAAATTAATGTTAATTCTGTTTTCGCGTTTGTTTCTTAGTCTTAGAAAGTTTCCGTTTTCCAACGATTTCTTTCCGTCAAAATTCTCTATGCCTTCCCTGCCTCTCCCGTCCAAGGCCCAAAGCATTATATTCTCCTAGATTATATTTTCAGGAGCCAAGGTAGCAGCAGATTATACAAAAGACAGACCCGTCCCCTCGTCAGAGAGGGCGCCCCACAAAAACAAGACCGTAACTGTTGAACAGTAAGAAATATCTCACTATGAGCCCTAGACAGTGCCCGACACCAAGACTTACTGACCGACTGGCCGTCAGTCGCAAGGTGACTCTGATTTTTGAAAGTGATGGGAGTATTTGAGAGTGTTAGAGTGTGTTTCAGTATTTGAGTGTTTGAGTGTGTTTATATAACAGTAAGAGTGACAGCAGTAGGAAGTTCGTAGAAGACTTGTGAAGATTTAAAGTGTTATTTGAAGACCGTAATTGTGTACAATATTTGGAGTGATATGAAGCACTAGTTCCTGTGTTTTAACTGCATAACCAGGAGAGGACTAGTGTGTGCGTGCAACAGTGAATTGTGAAGTGCATGTAATCAGCGATAGCGCAGTATTTAAGTGTAATTAAGAGAGTGTGCGTAACCAAGCTGCTAATAAAATCCGAACTAGATCCCATCGTTTCGTCACGCGTACCCCCTACACGTAACAATATTTTCATAAAAATAATAAATGAAATGTGCCCATACAGGTCACGAAGTTCCTAGTTAAGTAATGTGCTAAATTGCCCTCTTAATTTGTTGTTCTTAAACCTGAATAGTCTCCTGAGCCATTTCCTCAAACCCATACAAAACGAGTGACAAAATTATTTTTTCTATATATCGTGGTCTTTAGTTCACTGGAATAGTTCTGGAATGAAAGGTAACGAGCATTTCTATTATCTACTCTTCTCGCACTCGCAACACGAACCATAATTTTTCGTATTTGTTTATGTTGTTCCCAGGCGCTTCAAACCATGTGCATGGTTATTACTCTGTTACCGATTTTGTTTTCATTGATTCAGATTCATTGACTCGTATAACGTTCACACAAACAGACGGGTACAATCACCCCAGTCTGGAGACACCCCTGAATACTCTAGCTGTATGTAAATATAAACTAAAGGCAGAGACGAGCTCGGCGTGAAATATATAAACACTTTTTCGACTTGCAAGTTCCTCATAGGGGAAATTGAATTTCATCTGTGGAAATAGATCGTAAAATTAAAAAGCTGAATAGCTTATTCTGGCAAACTCGCATGTTGCCTACAATAGCCAATTCGTTCTACTATTTTCCCATGAAGGACTGAAGTTCATTTCTATGAAGCCACATGACGTGAAACCTGTAATTGTCTCTCACTTTCCTGAGTCATGGCAGCTGCGTTACGAATGAATGGAAATGAACCTAATCTGAATCTACGGTTCAATATTTATGCCTTTTGGACGCGGAGCTACCATGGACACGCCTCCGATGTGTCATGAGTAAAATACATACATATTTAGATTGTCGAATAGTGTTAGAATGAACGGGGATAGCTCAGTCAGTATAGCTACGAGCTACAGACTGGACATCCAGGGTTCGATTCCAGGCTGGGACAAGATTCTTCTCCATTCCACAATGTTCAGACCGGATCTGGGGTCCACCCTTCCTCCTATCCAATGGTTACCGAGTGTTCTTTCCCGGTAGTAGAGCGGCCAGGATAAGAAGCTTACCACTCACCTCCATATAATACCAAGGCCAAGAATGGAGCTACACCTGTACAGACCAACACTTCTTAATGGCATGGTGCTCAATTAATTAAACGCAAGGACAACTTTGCCTTTCACCTTTCTACGCAGTGTTGCGTGTCTCACACGTGGCCTGACAATAAAGTCGCGTTAGAAGTGCTACATACCTCATTGCTGAATATTAGTGTGGTCCCTATGCACCGATGTCAGCGCCTAGTCCACCTTTCAAAACAAATATGAAACTGATTTTGTTGAATGGTCATCGGAGCTGCCGTCGTGTTATTCTCTGTGTCATCAATATCACTAAATGCCTTCCTTTCAATATTTCCTTTATTTTCAGGAACAGTAAAAAGTCACTAGAGGCTAGATTCGGTTCATAGGAAGGGTAATCCAGAACAGTTATTTGTTTACTAGCTAAAATCTTCCCCACAGAGAGAGCCGTGTGAGCATGTCCTTTGGAACCATTTTTGCACACACATCCATCAGTGTAAGTTATGGCATCCTAGGAGAGAGAAATCCTTAGAGTAGCCAGCCGTGAGAAACTCCTGTCTCACCACCTAGCCCACTACAATATGGTGGCACAAATGTTTTTCCGGCCATGATTGTTCGGTTTGTAAGGCGGTTTGCATATTTTACGATATCCATGAAGTAACATCTTCGCTCTGTAACGTTAGCTGTCAGCCAGGTAAAATCCATTACGCAGAATTCACGAGATATTTACGGTATGTTAAAAAGATGAAGCTGTGAGAATATGATTAATAACTTCGACATATCTGTCTGCATGTAACAACTCTAGAACAGCTGGACAGATTCCCATTGTTATCCAGAGGACCTTCAAGCTCCTGCTGTATAAGCCCAGAGAAAACAGCCCAAGCAGCCTTTGTAGGATGATGTGCCCCCCAGACATGGTCTGGAAGCTGTGATGAAGGGAAAGATCTCTGCCGATTTTTTTTCTTGAGGCCTGTTCTAAATGTGTCCGTTTACAACAATTTAAGTAGCGTACATTTTGAATTACTTGACTGGCATTATGAAGTATTCACTTATATAGAAATTATTTTACGCTTTGTTACTGAAAACATAACCAGAATCTAGAATAATATGACATTCATTTTAGGTAGAATTTAGTAATTAGATACAAAGAAAGAAAACGTGACGCCTTGTAAGGCTCTATTGCAAAATCTGCTGTTGCTTTGAAGAACGATTTGATGGCCACAAGAGAGGCTAGACTTATAAGGTTTTCAAGATCACGTAATACTGGCGTGGTAATGTTTCATCTCTTCTATGTGACTGTCGTCTTCGCCTCGTCATACTACAAAAATTTATTTTCCTTTCTCTTATTTCAAAAGCCAAGTATACACAAATGGTTTCTACTCGGACGTGTATTTCTCTTGAAAAATTTGTCCTAAATTATTAGCTAAATTAATATTCCTTTCAAGTTTATAAAAGTAAGTAAAGTAAAGCTATCCCTGTAAGGACCGTGGAGGCCCATAGGGTTGTGGGATGTTGAGGATCCCACATTTTCTAGACATTCGGCTCATAGATGGCGGCAAGGTTGTCAGCCTTACGCGCCGACCACCTTTTACCCCCAAGAATATTCCTGGTACTCATTTCTGTTAGAGGCTGAGTCGACCCCAGGGCAATAGTGCGGCCGGAAGTATTAGGTCAATTGAAAATATTCAATGACCTCATCGGGATTTGAAGCAGCGACCTTCCGGCTTGTAGCATAGTGCCTCAACCAAATATGCTACCGCGTTCCCCTTCCTTTCAAGTTATTCCTAGCAAAAACCATGGTCAATAAACTTAACCATGACGTACTGAAACAGAATTTCGGGTATGGTGCCTCTTCGTTACACCTATCTTTAACCAGTCTCAGTACTTTTATATTAAGACTGAATAATATGAAGATCGCAAAATAGTTTTTCTTCTTTCCCTCGAAGGGCTGCGAACAGAAACAAAAATGTGACTGAGAACCCTCTGTTTGCTATGAACAGCGCCATCACAATCCGATTCATCTGCTACTTGACGTTCCTTCTTGGGTTATTAACGAAGGTGATTCAACTTTAGAGGTCATATGGGTCATGTGTGTCTAGAGGATCGAATGGGATGGGTTGAGGTCATGAAAGCTGAGTAGGAGTACGTAAGAAACTCAGAGCAGGCGGCCATAGCGTATTTGAACCTGTTACTCTGGAATTTTTCTGAAAACA